AAGTGTTGGGATTACAGGCATGCATCACCATGCACAGCAACACTGATAATTCTTCGAGCAAATTTTCATCTTTTCTTTTTTAAACACGTATCTTTTTTCAGAGTTTATGAACATGGATTTCAGAAACACATGGAAACAACAGCAGCAGAGCTCTCTCTGTCTGATGTGCTTTGATGAAACTTTATTTTCATTTTTTTCCTAATTATAAAATAACACATTGCTAAAGAGAATCATGAACAGTTCTAAGAATAAGCACTTTTGCCCCAAAGGCAATCACTATTCATCTTCTGCACAGCCTAGGAACGGGCATCAGTTCCTGATTTTCTGTACACATGATGCACCTCCATGTTTCCATAGCAGCACGAGAGCTTTCCCAGGATGGGGTGTCCTGGAGGGTCCAGGGTCTGCAGGTAGCTGCTCTCAGCTTCACAGAGAGAGTGAGGCCCCAGGCAAATACAGAGGTGGCACTAGATGGCCGGGACACGAGCAGCCCCAGCACTCAGGGCTGGGAGCACACTCCCACACACCTTTACTCTGAAGGCCCCTGCCCACTGTTCAAGGAGTCTTTCCCTACTTGTCTCTCTCAGATTTTGGGCCATCTTGCTTGTTCAGTATCACTGTCAGGCTAGCTCTAAAGCAGTCCTATTTAAGTGAAATTATCATTTATTAATATTGTTGCTATTATTAGAAGTAGTAATAGTAGTAGTAGTACTGGGGATTGAACCCAAAGCCTTCACTCTGAACTACATCCCTTCCCCGTTTGTTATTATCATCACCATTATTATTACCATTATTGAGACAGGCCCTCTGTCTTGCCCCAGGATAAGCTTGAACTTACGATTCTCCTGCCTCAGCCTCCAGAGTCCTAGGATTACAAGCATGTGCCATCACTTTCAGCTGTAAGTGAATTTTTAATGTTCTAAATGATTCTGCTTTTTCATAGCAGTACTGGGGATGGAACCCAGGCCTCATACTAAGTACATTATACCTCCACCTCTCTGTCTCCTTTTTTAAAAACAGGATCTTGCTACGTTGCTCAAGCTGGGCTTCAACTTGGGACTCTCCTGCCTGAGACTCCTTAGTAGCTGGGGTTACAAACATATGCCACCATGCCTGGCTTATAAGTGAATTTTTCAAATAAGTTTCAAGACAGCAGGATTAGCAATGAATGTGTCATCATCAGTTCACATTTCCACAACTTTGGTATATCCTGGGGTATTTTAAGATTGTTACAAAGTGTTTAACCCACACAGAGCCATATGCCCAGTTTTGTTCTGAGGCAGGGTCTTGCTATGCAGTTCAGGCTGGCCTTAAACACATGCCAATTCTCCTGCTTCAGCCTCCATAGTTTTGGACATATGCCCAGTTACTAAAGAGAGCCCTACACTGCCTATCAGCTGAGAAGGACCCCTTTGGATGCCAGCATGTCCTGTCTCACTCCTAAGACACCCTTGACCCTGGGGTCCCCCATCCCACTTTCGGGAGTTCTAGAATGTGTCCCAGCAGTAGTGTCAAGAGCATTCCCTTCATACACACCCGATGGCCCACCCTTCCTTCCAGCTTCCGTTCTCTCATCCCCTGGAGCCACGGGTGGCCCAGGCACAGGGCCTCTGCAGCTGCTGCCCCTGTCAGTCATCAGTCATCATCTTCTGTCTTCACTCAGGGAAGTTCCCACCCACTGGCCAAACATCTTATCTCGGTTGTCACTCTCCCGCTCCAAGGGCATGAGCCATATGAGACCAACACTCCAATGCGCTGGAAGCGGCCCCGCAATGCTTGTCCTGAGTCCTTGAGAGCACGAGGACCTGACCATTGCTGCCCTGTTTACAGTGATGTTTCCGTGATTGTGAAGCATCAGTAGCCTATGTGCCCCCTGAGCACCGAGCACCGGCCTCAGCGAGCTGTCTTGAAAGCAGGCCAGCTGCTATTGAGAGGCTATGGGGGGACCAACACTCATTTTCCCTTGTGCCTCCCCACACTGGAGGGGCTCTGTGCCCCAGGTACCCTCTCCAGGGTCCTTGCAAATTTCCATCTGATGTCAGTGTTTGCATAAGCCCCCTCAGCCCTTCCTGGATGAGAAGGGAAGGAAATAAAAAGCAGCATAATGAGAAAAACCAGGCATGCTCCCTGCTAGCACCTAGGGTTGCCCTGTTGGCCATGCAGTTACCAAACTCAACAGAAGGGAAGTAGATGACCAGACTGGCCACACGAGGCTGCCCTAGGCCCATGATTGGGCTGCTCAACGCAGAAGGGCACCAGTGTGCTGGTCACCTCAGGGAGGACTGTGTCGGGGCTGGACCCACAGACATCACCCAGGCCACCTTGTGTGCACCAGCATTGCCCCATTTTGCAAGTGAGAATGTGGCTCAGGATTCTGCAGATGTGCTGGGGGTACAAGGAATTCCTAAGTGCACTCAGTTCATACCTTTTTTGCAACTCAAGTTTCCTCCTGAAAAGGATTCTGAGTGATTAGGACACATTTAGCAAGGACAGGCAGTCCCCCTTTTAGGTAAGGAGCAGAGCACCTTTACTTCTAAACAAGGAGATGACCTTTTAACCTAAGGCGACCCTCCCTTGCTGGCCTGGCCCTGGTCAGGGTCTGGCATTCATGCAGAGTCTGCTGGAATAGTTTGCCTCGGGAAAGGCCTTGATATGCTGGAAACATCATGTTGGTCAGCGAGGAACAAGGACCTGGGACCTTTGGCGTGGGACACATTTCCCGCCGGGCTGCCTTGACTTCTAGGCATAAGGTTTCTTCTGTTAAGACTCCTTTTCTTTGCAGATACTTAATTTTTTTCCAGATTTTCCATGTTATTTACACCACAGAATAATTCAATAAATTAGAAAAATGAAAAAGCAAAGCAGTAGGAAATGAAAATATCAGGACAGATGGACCATCAGCTGCAGGGGTTGAACAGGCAGCAAGAGCCAACCTGGAGGTGTCACTACTCCTCGGCCAGACCACTGTCCCACCGAACCCTGTTCAGCCCTGTGCCATCACTCAGCACATTGCTGTGCCCTGCTTTGTACCAGCCTGGCTCCTAATTACATATGTCCTGAATTTACGTGAGGCATTTCTAGAGTGGGAAATGACATCTACTGGGTCTTTGCTAGCTGATGCTCTGGTGCTTCCTCACCCCACTATTACTGGAGTTTCTCTGAATTGCAGCTGAAACCGGATACGGTATTTGCACAAGCAGCCACAGAGATGTGGTAAATCTAGTACTTCAGCCGTCATTTCCTGGAGAACAGGCAGGGGGCCAGACCCCTAGCAAACTCCTTCCGACTGATTTCTGCCAAGGAAGCAGGTGCCTCTGCCCTAGGTGTGGGAGAGGGTGGGCCCTCAGTCACCCTTTGAAGGCCCCTTAATCTGAGCCCACATGTCCTGGAACACTAAACATTCTTGGGGCTCCTGAAGCATTGGCCTCAAGAGCGCAGGGTCAGGTGATCTTGGAGTCGGAAGGCAGGTTTTAGGGGAAGAGGCATTTGGCCTGGGGGCAGGGGCACGGCCAGCATGGAAGGGAGGGGCTCTGCTGGGGCCCACCCTCTCCAAAGAAGGATCCGGGAAAGAGCCTCTGAAACTGCCCCAGACCTTACAGTGAACTTGCTCTAAATGTGTAAAGAAATGGGGTGGGGGACAGCTCAGGGTTCACTTGTCCTCAGATCTGTAAAGGCCCCCGGAGGACCCCAGCTATGCAGCCCACCAAACACCAATTGCTCTCACACTGGCAGCCCCAGCCAGTCTCCATGTGGCCCCTGCCCCCACCAGCCTCAAAACTGTGGGTGTCCTGTAGCCAGGCCAAGTGCTTTAGGTAGGGCTCAAGGAGGTGCAGGCAACCTGCTTTCCCCATGTGGCTCTAACCCTGCCCCCCAGCCTGGTGTCCTGTGTGAAAGCCTCCCTGACACAGAATTGCTGCTTCTCCAGAGGGAACACAGGATACCACCTCAGAAAGGGAGGTCAAGCGATGTCCTGGCTGTCCAGGGACAAGAACAGAGGAACCCTACAGCTGTGAGCCCCAGGGTTGAGTTCTCAGTCCTTGCTGGCCCAAGGCTTGGCAGGAGTGGGAAGAAGCAGCCCTTCAGCACACACCCAGTCAGGGAGGGGCTCACCATGTACAGTGGTCTACGATTTAGCATCTCATAGGGGGATGAGTATGAACACATGCTGCCGTGGGGACGTGACATCCTGGTTCCTCTTCTGGCATGGCCAAGTGGCGGCTCCCAGGCCACTGTAGGGGTAGATGTCCGGGCTCTATTTGCCAGGTGGACTCCAGCCTCTGAATCCAGGCCCAGCATGTCAGAATATAGCCCCACCCTGGCTGCTGTATGCTCCCTAGAGCAGTGATGGCCAATCTCTTAGAGCTTGCAATGATATAAACAGCCTGCTGCAGCACATGTGCCATAGATTTGCCACCACTGCCTTGGAGACCAGACTCCAGCTACAGATGCACTCCCAGGACTTGGTTGTAGGTGGGCAAGCCAGGGCCTGCACTTGGGGTGCCTAGGGCATGAGCACCTTGTTTCTGGGCACTAGGGACCTGAGATTCGCCTGACTCTGTGTGTCCTTGGCGTGGCACATGCCCCAGGTGGAGGTGGGTTGCTACCAGAGCACTGTTACTGGGCTTTGTCTTCTATTTTCCAAGGTATATCTGTCTATTTCAAAGCCCAGAAGGTAGCCCAGGCCCAGCCCACAGGGCCCAGAAGGCAGGAGCATATCTTCCTGTACCAAGAGCCATGACCCATCAGCCCACATGGCCATGCCTCTGCCTCTACTGTCCCTTGAGGCCAACACTGCAGCCACTTCCACTGGCCAGCACACATGCATCACATGCATGTGTACAATACAGCATCACATGTGCACAGTGTTACATACACAATCATATCTGCAGCCATACATACAGTGCCACATACAGTATTACACATGGATAGCCATACAGTGTCACACATATGCACACGCAGTGCCACATGTAAATGAAAACACACATGCACACAACAGCCTCTGCTTCCTTCTAAGCCTATTTGTGTGGGGGCCAGACCTTCTGCCTCTATAAGGAGCCCACCAACCCTTATCTAGATGAATTCATGTGTGACACATTCATGAGTTTATGCATACATGTGCACATATGTGGCCATGCCAGAAGTACCTGGAGCAGAATAGCTGGCCCTTTGCTATCACCACCCTAGGAAGCAGGGAAGAGGGCCAGATCATCCATAGCTCCCAGGCTTAGCCTGGGGAGGACAGCTGAGGCCAGATGTGAATCTGCCTGGGCCTGTGCTGATTTGACTTTCTTAGCCAGGCCCTTCCCTAGGTATTTCCTGCCTGAGAGTTGTGGATTTGACAGTGTAAGAGTCCCCAGCTTGAAGGGATCTCTGCAGCTTTAAGCAGATTCCCCTGTTCCTGACACTAGGAACCCATGGGTGCCAGGTGCATAAAGTTGTCCCTCTGCCTGACCCACCTTGCCTGGGACTCGGGAGGGCTCCGAACAAGGCTCCAGGCACCAGGACGCCCCAGCCAGCTGACCAGAGGTAGCACAGCCAGTCATCAGGGAGCCACCTTCCCGACTACTCCATGGTGACTCACAGTGTGGATGGCAGGGGCTGTGGAATGCGCTTTCTGACTCAGGGAGGAAGTGGGCTGAGTGAGCCTCTGGAGGAAGCTCTGAAATCCTGATGTAAGTCTGTGGCTTCTGATGCTGCTTCCTGGGACCCCGCAGGGGCTCAGCCCAGGAGCACACAGGAAAGCTGACTCCACAGTGCAGGCAGCTGTGATGAGGCAGGTGGGGGGGCGCGGTGCTTCAGTCCATCCTACCCGGCTCTGCCCCAATGGCATATGTGGATGTACAAGCCACTTGGCTGGGTGCAGGAGCCAGCAGGACAGAGCCCTACAACCCACCTCAGTGTTGGGAGTTTCTTGGCCATATCAAGGCTCCTGAGCCTGGAAGGGCCCATCCTGGAGGCAAGAAGGCAGCAGCCAGGTTCCAGGCCCAAGGGGGAATCAGGTCTAGAGCAGTCAGCCAAGTCAAGTCCCGGCTCCATCTAATTTTGCCCCAAAACCTCCAGGACAAAGCTGGTGACTGTGAAGTAGGGTAGGGCACTTTCTTGGTCCTTCTCTGTCCTCACATCCCTTCAGTAGAACAGCTCAGCAAGCACAGGCAGGCACAACTTGCCTGGGGCCCCTGTCAGGGGCATCTTCTGCAGATTCCAGGGTGGTTGTCATTCCAGAGCCATACGGCTGACTACAATGGTCCCACCCACCCTGAGTAGTGTGACCCTAAGCCCCAGATACTACACACACTGAGGCCTCATGTGCTCACAAATGTAGCAATGATGAGCCATCCATGGCTGCAGAGAACATCCAAACTCTATCCAACCAATCTCCATGTAGCATAACTCTGGAGTGAGAGTTGGCAGGAATCTCTGGGACAAGTAGCTCCAGAGCACCCCACCCCCACATCTGTGCCCTCTCTGAACCTCTGGACAGGATAGTGCAGGGCTGTGTGGAAGAAGCGCTGGCTGGTGGAAGCTTCAGGTAGGCTCAAGATCAGGGTCTGGATGACCCAAGGAGGGCATCCCCTGGGGATCCCTGGCACTCCTCAGGCCCAGGTCTCATCAGCTCCTCAATCCGCTGGTCCTTCAGCTGTACCAGGTTCTCCAGCCTCATCACCTTCATCTGTAAAATCTTCAAAAAACCACACAAGCTTAAAGAACTTCTGCTCAGCAGCCCAAGCAAAAAGTTCCTCCCTGAACCTGCGGGTGTGTCACTGCAGCCACAGCAAGCACACACGCCCATATCCTGACCACCTTTCTGGTGTCCCTCTCTCTGTGACCAATGAGAGGGCAGGTGGCTGAGGCTGCACAGTGTGATGCTCTCTCCCCTGCATGACCAGACCACATGTTCCAGCTTGCTGCCCACCACCATGTAATTCCCCCAGGAATCTTCCTGGTGTCTCTTTGAATATCTCATTAACAATTAGGCAAATGGCACTCAACTCTTTCAGCCCTTAAATGGCAGGTTGAGCTTTTCCTCTCTGGATCTTATGAAATGAAATACTTATGATTCACTGAGAGCACGTGGGCCAGACCCACAGTTGGGACAGCAAGGGGCCGTGGATAACCTGCAGAGCGAAGCAACTTTATTTCTTCTTGTAGCTTCCTCTTTGCTGCCATTTGGTAAGTCCAAAGCCACACAATGATATCACTTTCCTGTATTCTCAAGATGACTGCTCATCAAGATTTGGATACCCCTTCCACAGTTTCTGACTGGCCCTTTGACCCTAAGGTCCATCCAGCATGCACTGCCTGCTAACTGACTGTCAAGGCATGGGAGAGGCAAGAGTTGGTGAAAGGCTTCCTGCATGGAAGAACTCCAATGCCCCTAAGGACAGAGCAGAGTGGAGGCATGTGTCGTGTAAAACCAGGTGTACCTCACAAACCTAGGTGTGTCCCACAGAACCAGGTGTGCCCCACATATGAGTGTTCCTGAGGAGCCCAGGCTGAGGGGTGCTTCCCAAGACCGAGGACTCTGGCTAAGCATCCTCCTGACAATGCCTGCGGAGATGGCGAAAGGGCAGGCAGGAAGCTCTCCAGACAGTACCTCTAACCCACTTTCTTCCCAGGTGCCTGCCCAGCAAGAGACTACCTTTTGTTCCTGGACCGAGGCCCCAGGCCACACTGCCAGCACTCATAGCGGTGCCCGTGCCTTGTCTGCAGCCCTGGCATGTGGACTGAAGATCGATAAGCCAATAAGGCAGTGAGTAGGTGGTGGAGGACAACATACCTTTTTCTCTGCTTCTGGATATGATTGAAATATTCCACAGACTGTTTTCCAAATAATCAAACTATATGTTTACTCCAACCCAAACCTCCTCTTCCCCATCTTCAAAGACATTGTAGGGAGGTTGCTCAGCCAGAGTCCTGGCTCTTGGGAAGCACCACTCAGCCTGCAGGTCTTAAGAAGCACTTATATGTGGGGCCCACCTGGTTCTGTCTGCTACCCACCACCAAACCCCAGGCTGGAGCAGCACCATAGGAACTCAGCTGAGAGCTGGACTGTGGCTGCTGAAAGAGGGCTACCGAAAATAAAAGCAGAGAGTTTTTCTGTGTCCCCAATTCTGTAGATCACAGTGTATCCAAGGTGATGGGCCATACCTGGACTGTCTGTTGCAGAATGACTAGCGCCTGCTCCTTGTCCTCCAGCAGCTGCTGGGCCCTGGCTAGGTGCTCCCAGGCCTCTCTGGCTGGGTCTCCACTGAAAGAGAGACACCAGCCTTTAGTCTATCAGGTGGGGACTAGGGATTATAGGTGAAGGAGGAGCTGAGAGACGGCCCACCATCCACAGGCACAGCAGTCCATCTTCTCCAAAGCTCCCTGGTTCTGAAGAGTCTTCACACTGGAGGGATCTGGTGAATGTGGTAGGCCTGTTTGACAAACGGACACCATCAGCTCAGGGCCTCTGCCTCCGAGAGCCACTTATGTGGTGGCAGCACATGTGGGCTGGGGGTGGGGGGTTGGCCTGTAGGTTGAACAGACGCAAAAGTCACCATATACCTGTTTGGTCCCAGCCAGGTATCAGGGCCCTTTAACACAGCCCTGGACGCTCTGAATAGTGTCTCCATTTGGAGATATAAGGACCCTGCAGGACACTGCTATGTGGGTGCTGGTACAGCAAGGGAGCCCATGTACCTTCCTCAGAGGCTGGCTAGGCCACTGGGTCCTGTGTGCACTTGAGCACACCTGCTCTCCTTTGTGTGAAGCCACAGGCATCACATGTCCAGTCATGTGCTAATGTGGCGATGCCTCCCATAGATGGCTCAAAGGGGTGCTGACAGGCTGAACTTGTCTATGCCAGGGGTTTGCATCCTACCGGTGTATGTGCAGGTCGGCAGCTCCACGCAAGGTTGGTCAGCATTCACATAGGAGGGTCCTGTACCCTGCAGATTTGCAAGGTTGGGAAGTGAGGTGTAATGGGAGTAAACATGCCTGCCTGTAGTTCCCAGTGATCACTGGCAGGGGAGCAGTCAGCAAGCAAGCTGGACAAGGTAGGGCAGGGCCTCGATTAGTACAGTTGGGTGCAGACTCAGAAGAAGCAAACCCAAAAACAGTTTTCATTGCCTGGGCAGGCAGGTCAGGATGGGAAGGGGCAAGATCCTGGGGAGGCCTGGCCAGCGGTCCAGTCGGGGATTCAAGCATGGACATGTATGTATCTGGACCACAGGGCTGTGGGGGGCAGGGGCTTTACTGTCATCGATTTCTCATTTCCTCACAGGCAGATGATTTGGCTATGTACAAATGGGCACTGATGCAGCAGGTTCCCAAGCTATACTGATTTCCACAAACACGTACAGTTGTGCTGGGTGAGCCTGCATGAACAGTGCCAGCCTCCACCTTCTCTCTCAGTGCGCAAAGAATGGGCTCGATGGCCCCAGGCACGTTGGCCACCACCTTGCGGATATCTGCCTCTGAGACACAGAAGTGCAGCTTGTGGAAGACTTTCCTGCAGAGGAAGCAGGGATACATGCTCAAAGCAGTGCCTCCATGGGTGAGGCCCTGGGCCACAGGACAGTGCCCGATTTCTTCGGATTAGGGCCCTTTCTTGCCCAGTACCCCAGAGGCCTTTCCATTTCCGGATCCCATCAGAGGATCACAGAGAGAGCAGTGCCCCGTGCCATCAGACCAAGTGTCTCTGGGACTCTGCTGCAGTCCTCGTCTCTCTGCCGGACAGCTTTCCTCTGCTCTGTGCAAAGTTCTGCTGGTCACGTCCAAAGTACCTAGACTCTGACCTTTTCTAACTTCCCTCAAGGCCAGCACCTGACTGTACTTGTCCCCTCTCAACCCTGCCTCCACCTCCCTCTACCGCCTCTCCCTGTCCAGTGCTCTGAAATTCGAGCCCCATCAGCTTTGCCCAGGCCTCAGTCCTGAGTCCTGCAGTGCTTCTAATCCCATCTCCGTTGGAAGCAAAGCACTGTTTTCCGAGTGGCCTCCAGGATTCTCCGGTCTGCACTGAGGGCTCTGGGGCTCCCCCACGTAGCTCCCCAGTGTTCACTCTCACCATCCCTACATCACTCTCGTGACTCCCCAGGGCCCTCTCTGGCTCCCCTACTTCTCACAGGGCTGCCCTACCTTTGGCTGGTTGCTCTTCATATCACCTATCAGACCTGGCACTGTTTGTATTATCATTTGCTCTTCGAACCAGAGACTCAGACACAAAGGCAGGAACCTGAACACTGTGAGTCTTCTGGCTTGGAATACGGCCTGGCTCCCTCTCTTAAACGAGAGAGAGGCTCGGGGAGCAGGCCTACACGGACAGGCTGTTCTGGCAAGGAGCCCCAACCTTGCCTGTTGAGAAGGCTCCAGTTGCTGAGCTTCTGGTCCGTGCTGCAGGCAGGGATGTAGCTGTGCAGGTCCACAAGGCGTGGATGAAAGTGCTTCACAATCTCTGCCACCAGCACTGTGGGAGAGGACGGTGAGCCTGGCCTGTACAGCAAAGTCCCTCCGCTGCCCGCTGTCGCCCCGGCTTCCTGCAGGGCACGCGAGGGAGGCACAGACTGGTCCCTGGGATGCAAGGCTCGGCACTTAGCCCTGGGGGGGGGGGGGGGGGGGCTAAGTCCTAGAAGCAGCGGCTGCAGAAGCGCCCAGGCCACATCTGTTGCTATTTTCCCCAGGGTGGGGGCGCACCTAAGAGGACCCCTCACTCCCTGAGCCCTTCTTGCCTAGTGCCCCGGCCACCTCTCCACTCGCGCAGCCGCCCGTCCCAGCGCGCCCTCCAGGCGATCTGGCCCCGCTCGCACCGCCATCGCTGAAGTCCCGAGCCAGGTGTCGCTTCGGGCGGCTGAGCGGGAGCCTGTCCAGCCAGGCGCAGAGGCCGCGCAACAGCCGCGTCGGAGAGGGAGCAGCGGGGCTCAGCCTAGAGGCGCCGGGCATGGCAAGAGGCGTGCAGGGCGTTGCGGGGAGACCGGGCCGGAAGGGGCGGGGCGCGTCGCAAGGGGAGATGGGACCCTAGGGGCGGGGCAAGAACAGCAAAGCAATCTTCGGCAGTTTTTTTTGAGTGCCACTGGCCTCCTGCTTGTCAGTGGACGGACCTGTTTAATTAAACAGGGGGGGTGCTTACTCAAATCCATAGGGAAGAAAGGTAAAAGTTCGATCGATATAATAAAAATGTCCTGCCCTTTAAAACGTAGTCCGTAGTTTATTGATAAAAATATAAGCTTTATAATTAATGGATTTCATCCCCTGAGATTTAGGACCAGTCAGCTATCTACCCTGCCCCTCAAATGACAGTGATTCCGGAAAAGCGAACGTTCCTTCTTAGATCATGGGCTTGGTGGAGTAGATGCAGAGACAGTTCACTTATTTACACCCTCTTTACAGGAAACCACCAGAGCTGCCCTGTCCTTGAAGGAGTCATCAGGGAGAGCAGGTACAGCGGTGGCTGGGAAGAGTGCTCTGCGCCGCCAGAGCACGTGGGTTGCGTGCTGGTGGGGTGTGTGCCTGGGACAGCAGCCCCCCCCCACACACACACACTGCGGGTGACCTCAAATCCCAACCTAGCCGTTGCAGACGCAACACAGGTGAGAAGGGATTGGTCTTGAGCAGTGACTTTGGCCCAGCCGAACAGCAAGGGCATCTGTCTGAGGCAGTCCTGAGGTCAGAGAAGCAGCTGAGGGTCCAGCCCTGAGTCCTGAGCTGAGAGGCTCCGGTGGTGATCCTGAGATGCTGAGGAGCTTGGCCACAGGACCATTCTGGGACTCCTACAAACTTTCCTGGGCTCACAGATGCCCCCCTGTGGTGCCCTGCCCAATCACCTCCTCTGGACTGGGGGTTCAGGGTAACCTTTGGGCCATCAAGTCCCTTGAAGGAGAAAAACAGAATTGACATTAAACATCATCTGCTACAAAGGGCACAACTGAAATATTCCCATTTACATATCTTGAAATTTAGATTCTTGGTTTACCCAATAATAAGTTGGTCCTAACCACACAATGATTACTGCTGTGATGGCCACAATATTAACAGCTAACACTATATAGATTTCATTATTTATTCTAGTAAGGAAAAAAGGTAAAATTAACAGTGGAAGTAACAATCACTGAAAAGTCCTCTGACAGACTGTAAAGCAGACATTAAAGTAAACCTAAGACTGATAAGTTTTCCTTTTTGTTTTCTTTAGATAACCATCAAAGTTTGCCAGCCAATAATCTAAAGAAATCATCTTACACGCACTCCAGGGCAGTGCTACAGGCATCATAATGAGGCAGCCCCTGCATAGGTAGACCCCACCCGGAGTGTGGGAGAGGGCTCACCTGAGTCATTCCCGGTGTGATCCCTCAAACCCAGGGCTTGACTGGTGGCATTGGTGGTGCAGAGGTTGGCTTCATGGCCTGGGAAGGAGCATACATGGCTGAAGGAGAGTACTACCTAGGTGGATACCCCAAGGCTGTCTGCACTGCTCCAGCCAGACTGCAGGCTTCTGCCTTCACTGAGCTCTCTGCAGAAAAACCGTCCAGGGCTGCCCTCTCCCAAAGGATAAACCAGGTATGGTGGCACATGCCTGTGATCCCAGCACTCGGGAGACTGACGCAGGAGGATCACCATGAGTTCCAGGCCAGCCTGGGCTCCAAAGTGAGTTTAAGGCCACCCTGGACTATATAGTGAGACCCTGTCTCTAAAAACAACAACCAAAAAGTACCAACTTGGCAGAACTCCCCCTCCTTAGCTGACTGCCCTACCCCATATCACAGCCTCATCTGCACCCACTCCCAAATGCTACCATGAGCAGAGTGTGGTGGTTCATGCCTATAATCCTAGCACTGGGCAGGCTGAGGCAGGAGGAGCCCTGTAAGTTTGAGGCCAGCCTGAACTACATAATGAGACCATGTTTCAAAACAACAAACAAAAAAACACTATCCTGAATGCTTTGGTTTTTTTGTAATAGGGATTGAATCCATCACCTTCACACTGAGCTACATCCTCATCCCTTTTTAATTTTTGAGACAGGCTCTCACTAAGACACTAAGTTGCTTAGGCTGGGCTTGAACTTAGATCCTCCTGCCTCAGGCTCCCGGAGTGTTGGGATTACAGGTGAAAGGTATTTAAATTGCCAAGATGAGGGTCTTAGAAGCTCAAAAGCCAAGAATTAACTAAATATGCATTTTTCTTATGCTATCTTTCCCAGGGTGGGCTCCTGGGCTACACATGCTAGGGGCAGGGGTCCCTGGGTGGACTGCGTACTGGTGGATCAGCAACTCAGGCAGGCCCTGCAGAACACTTCCCTCCCACAGCCAGGCCAGTTTGGCCACAGACTCTGCTCAGGTCCTCCTTCTGGCCTGGCTTGTTTGAGTCCTCTGCTAGAAATCTCTGTCCACCCTGCCCCCATTCTGCCTGTCAAGACCCCTCGTAGGGCTATTTTTGCAACTCACATATAGGTTTTTAATTAGTTCAAAATAAAACATTAAAAAGGGAAAGAGAAAAATAGAAAATCACTATTAGCCAAACAACACAGTAATAATTGTCAGAGGCCAAAATCATCAATGGATGCTAAAACAAGCAAGTCAAATTTTTAAAGTGAGATAGGACCTGAAGAGTCTCTATGTACTTCCCCCAAGGTGTTCACTAACCAAAAAACACTACCATAAGCAAGCCATGTGTGACGTGAGACATGAGGTACCACACCTTACCTCAGGGTCACATCCTTGGAGGGACACATCCCACACTATTCTTGCCAAAAACACACTGCTTCCATCCACTCACAATAAGAAGCAAACCCAAACTTGAGGGACACTGGACAACGTTGTGAAACAGCACTTCTAAAGTGCAAGATGACCAGGAGCCATTCAGGGCCCAGAAGAAGTGGGCAGGCCTGACGTGCTGCAGACTCATTGAGGGGCTGGTGTGGCTAAGGCTGTGCGCGTGCTAACACACAGGAGTCTAAGTGAAGGGGCTGAAGGGACTCTGCTATTTTGGCTTTTCTGTAAATCTAAAATTTGTTCAAAGTTAAAATTAATATGAACAAGCACCTCTCTGCCTAGGACAGGGCAAGGGATGGATGTTCATTCTTCAGTATCACAGAAGCCATCTACAGGGAGATTTCCCCAAGCTCTACCACGTGGCCTTTGGGTCCCCTAAATGACCATCACAAAGGTGGATAAAGGCCTGCCTAGGAAGATGTCCAGCAACACAGCTGACCTGTACAGTCTGGAGGCTGGAGCTTATGATAGACTATGAGAGAAAGCCAAGGCCCATCCTGCTGCCTAGTTTGCCCAACCATGGGTGGGAGTGTCTAGGTTCCTCTCTATTAGTCCAGCCATGGCCCCAGAGTGACTGTTCAAGGTACCACCTTTTCCCATGGGTTCCCAGGTGAAGGAGATTATCTAGGATTGAGATACAGGGGCCTAGCGGGTGAGGAGTTCATGCTGAGAACAGGACCCCAACATTGAAAAGGAAGACAGAGGCCTGGGAATTAACCTCGGCTTACAAGGCTTTAGTGAGTCACATTGTGACAGACCTTTTCAGACCCCCAAAGCCTCATCCCCAAGGGAAGCATCATCATCATGAGGCTTCAAGAGATGGTGGTGGCTGTTCCTGGGCAGGCCTGTAGGCCTCCAGGAAGGAGGCCACTCTCCGGGCTGGATTTTCTTACCTGCTTGGGTTTCAGCTTTGGGAGAGGCTTGGTGGGTGGAGCAGGTCTGAGCTGATGGGGAAGGAGGGAGAAAGTGTCAGAACCCTATGGACCAGGCTTGCCTTAGCCCAAGTCTGAAGAACCCACTGTGCCTTTGCCCTCCCACAGCCTTGCCAAATCTAGGGTTTAGTGCAATGTCCTGAAAAAGCTAGGCTAACCTGTCTTCCCTTCCCTATGGAGTGGCAGCTTCCCTGGGCCCTGGCTCACAGAATCCAGCCTTCAGGCCCCTGACTCCAGAACATACGGCCATGCAACATAAGGCTGCTCACCTGGTCTGATGCCTGCTGGGTGTACACAGGAACTGGGATGGGTGGACTGCACATGGTGACTGGAGGCTGCAGGGGAAAAGGCTCTCATGAGACTGGGCTAAGCCTCCTATGATGCCCTCCATCCCCAGGTGTAGGAACTAAGGTTTGTGTACCATCCACACCAACGGGGAGAGGAAATGGAACCTTCCTGACTGGAGGTGTGCCAGGGCCCCAGCCCAGACACATGACCATTGCTTTCTCTCAGCCATGTGGTGACATATGCTGGAGCTGGGAGGAGGGCAAGAGTGTCTTCCCCTCAGAGCCATAGGCTAAGAACCCTCAGAGCTGCAAGTCAAGTTCATACTCCAAATGCAGGTTCCCAGGAGGCAGCTCTTAACTCTCAGTCCCCACCATGCAGTACCCACAGCAACTATACTAGGACCCAGGCCACTGCAGGGCACACAGGTTAATTTACACTAGGGTTTGGGCCATATCCTGGGGAAGGAGAATGGGGGCCCTAAGGACCCTGTCATTTCAGCCCCATGAACCTGTCAGGAGACAGTGCTTACAAGTGGGGGTGGCCTCTGCGGTACCAATGTTGGCTTGGGGAGCTGGGTGGGTTGGGTGGTAGAGATCAGCACAGGGGGACTTGGAATCTTGCTCTTGGCTGGCAAACTGCTACCTTCCTCACGGAACAGTGGGTTGGAGAGCCCCGTGGTGGTCTTGGGTGCTGAGCTTCTGGAGAGAAAAGGCAATGGTAGTTAGTCTGGGCCATGGACTCTGGGACTCCTGGTGTAGCCTTTGTGATTGGAGCCTAGTGGATCCATGAAACTCCTGAGCCTCCACCCTTGGCCCACCAATACGTAGGAAGCTTGAGTTGCTTAGTCTCTCTGCCTAGGCCAGCTGCATGAAGCAGTGGGTTTTCTTCCTCAAACACTGGCAGAGACTATTTCCCAACAGCACAGGAAGGTGTGCATCTCACATACAGATGTGTCACAACCAATATGTCCTCACCTTTTTTGGACAGGGCACCACGCCTTTTGGTAGATAATGACACCTGCCAGGATGACCATCACAGCTGCCAGGAGCACCAGGACCAGCAACACGCTAACTGGGAGTCCCCTAGATGCTGTGGGATACATGGCTGCATGTCAGCTAGGGCTGGGTGCTAGCTGAGTGGGGGGTGGGGTGAGGATGGCCCTTCAGAGATGAAGCCTTCTCGCCCCCCTGGGCTATGCCCTTGGTCCCTGTGGGATCCTGCCCATGCCCTGCACATGGCCAAAAGCCTGCAGACCCCCCAGAGGAGGACCTGGTACATTACACCAGTGCTCCCTGCTCTCCAGAAATGAGTCAGAAGGCATGATGGTAAGGGGCCTCTGACTCACAGGTTCATGGGTGTGGCCAAGGCAGGCCCTCGAGGCCATAGTGCTGTGGACAGCCACATGGTCAGGGGCCACTGGGGAGGAAGACACTGTGGGAATTGGTAATCCTGGGTTCCTGGGCCATAAAGAGACTAGAGGACTTGGACCGAAGACCACTAGTCTTACTCTGGGCTGGGCACTGTTCTCAATCAGCTCTAGGAGGCAGGGACATGGACTCTCTCCTGGCTGTCCTTGAGTCGGGTACCAGGGCTACAAACTCTCTCCTGAATGTCAGCTCTTGTGGATGCCAGGCACAGGCTCTGAACTTGGACCTGGATATATCATGGCCCTGCACACTGGGCACTGCCGGCCTTAGAAGGCCCAAGATAGCCAGATGCTACCTACCTTTGTACACATCTGTCAGCAGCTCTGCACAGTGAGGAGGGGCCCAGCCTGCGTGGCAGTGACACTCACTCTTGTGGTTGCACACCTGGGGGGATGGCCAGACCTCAGAGACAGGCACCTGGGGGGTAGTGGGCTATACTTACAGCACAAAGGTCCTAGGCCAGTCCAGCACATAGAGGGCCCCCATTCTTGAGTGGTAGCCCAATGACCATTTTGCTCAGTAATCACAGGTTTCATCTCCATAGGACATCTGCCCCAGCTTCTGGCCCAAGGGGACCCTGTAGAGACCCCCACTGACATGACATGCAGGGGAGGTGTGAGCTCTGCTTCTATATCTAAACCTATCGCTACCAGTGGCTTCCATCTGACAAAAAGCAGTAGCAGTAGCCTCAGGTCTGGGGGCACAAGGAAGAGGCACACTATCCCTTGAGGGCATACTTACCCCATGGTTGTTGCATTTGGCAGAGCAGTTCTTGGATCTGTAGACCTGGAGGTCCTGGCAGTGTCCCTTCCAACAAACCTGGAGGGCAGAGGGGGGTCTCTTGAATAGCTGGTCTGGACTTCCTATCCCCACCCCAGCACCCTCAGCACTCAATGGGCAAGCTCAGGGTAGGACAACAACAAGGATATCCATGACCTTGACCATCTGCTAGCAGGCTTTGATCATGAGGGCACAGCTAGGCTGGCCGACCCAGCCCCTCTGTCCTGAGGAGTGCCTCAGTACAGTGATATCCAAACTATTGACTGGGACTCAGTGTCTTGACTTGTCCTGCCCATTTTCTCAATTTTAACCAAAAGTGTGCAGAAGACTTCATTTACACACCTCTGCCAGAACACTAGGTTGGGATACTTCTGGGCTCCTAAGCCCTGGCTGCCCAGCTTAGCTCACCTTCCCCTCATCACATTTGGTGCCCTCAAGCACCAACTCGTAGGCAGCAGTGTTGCTGTCCAGGTTGAGAGCTTGACAAAGTCCCTGGTAGGAGTTAAAGGTGCAGGAGGAACGCTCCCTGGGCTTCTCTCCCCCTTCGCAGTACAGGATACCACATCTGTTTGGCCAGTAGACAGAAGGCAGGCTGTGGTCCCAGCTATACAGGGCACATGTTCAGGGGGCCTGGGCATTGCAGGAGATGGGTCCAGGGCCCTCCTCCCCTCCCTCCCACAAGAACATGCTCGAGCTGGGGTCCTGGAGGGCAGGGTGGGACACCAGAGAGCCACAGGGTTGGATTCCTCTGTGGGGAGAACCTTCTGTATTAGGCCAGTCCCTGGGGATAACCCATGTCCTGGGTCCTGGGCAGTCTGGTCTTGGACATTCACCTGTCCATGCTACGGGAAGTCCTGCCACTGCAACCTGGCAAGAGGCTGATTGTGAAGCAGGCATCTGTGGCCGGCCATGCACCTGTGGGGCCAGAAGATATAAGCCAGGCTGAGGCCTAGGGCCACCAACTGGCCCAATGTCCCATGTTCATGCCTGTCTCACCTGACCCCCACAATTTCTTGCATTGGTGGGCCATGGTGGGGCAGTTCCCATTAAAACAGTAGCCTCCTTGGCAGGGTGTCCCATTCTCCTGGAAGGCATCCTCAGGGCACATTGGCTGCTGGCCATCACAGAACTCCTCCAAGTCACACCCATCCTTTGCGCGACGGCATTGCTCACCAGCTGGCTTCACCTGGCCCCACAGAGAAAGTCACTGTGGGACAGGCCCAGATACTGCTCTCTCTAGCCTCCTCAGCCCTTCTCATTGCCTAGGACTCTCCTGGGCAGGTCTGGCTTACCCTACACTCGTGGCAGCATTCACCATGCGCGCAGTCAGCCCCTTCAGCCAGCTGGCAGGTAGTGGCATTGCAGCAGCGGTTCTGACAGTCCTGTGGGACAACACCCTGAGCAGCTGCATCTGGGGCCAGTGCCATCTCCAGGATGGACCAGCCCCCAATAACCACCCAAGGGCTCTGCAGCCCCTATCTCCCTTCCCTTATGGGTCACAGCAGAGGTATCAAAGGAGAACAGCTATGACTATAATGCTCAGGATTCATCGTGCTGTGGTACACAGTACGCCTAGCCTGGGCAATCATCCTCAACTGCAGAGGCAGAGGTTGCAGATCCCACACAGTTGCAGTAGAGAGAGGGGTGGGGTGGGACACACCTGGGGGGTACCACAGTCACACTCTTCTCCATGCTCCACAAACAGGTTCCCACACACGGGTCCTCCAACCAGCCGGTCTAGGTCAGGGGCATTGGCCAAGCAGTCTGCCTCGGGTCTCCCCATAAATATCTCCAGATCAGCCCGGCTGCACTTGCTGAACATCCTAGGGAACTTGGAGCTGAGGCAGGAGTACTGTGGTTAGGGACAGTGTACAGCACTACCCCTTCCTGCCCGCTATGCCCCATGAAGTCTTACCCAATGTTGCCTGACATGATGCAGCCACCACTTTCCCATGGCACAGGGCAGTAGCAGCCCAGGATGGTTTCGTCATGTCTCATGCCCAGGTTGTGGCCTAGCTCATGGGCCATAGTGGACGCCACACCAATGGGGTTCCGACTGTGGTCCTGTGGGAGGGCTGTGCTCATTAGGAATGCCCTTTAGCCTGTCTACTCAGGCCTACTGCCCTTGCCTTAGCACCCAGAGGCTTGATGTGGCTTCCTGCCAACATCTTAAAACAAAAAAATTAGGTGGCAACACCACCTCAGAGGAGGCAGCTAATCAGCTGTGTTTTAGGGAGCATGGTTGAAGCCCCACATTTATCCAGTTCAGGCTCCAAGCCCAGCTGCCCACCTCTAGCTATGGCAAATTCATGCAGGGGTTTCCTTCACCTGGTTCACAGCCCCCGAATGCCAGGAGCAAAGGGCAGACACCTTAGCCAGTCCCACAGTTGTCCCAATGAAGTCGATGCCCCTAGAAACAAGCATGACATGGACACATGGACACAATTCCTCAGCTCCTCCTCATTCCCACAGTTCCCTGCCTGGGCACCCTGTCCTTCAGGCCAAGCTGGACAGAGGCTGTGTGACCAACTGGGGTTCAGCTGTTCACTGCAGTAGGTGTGACAGGTGTGCCTTCTTACGTGATGAGCTGCACATTGTCATGGGCAAGCCGTCCTGTTAGGGCCTGTGCCCTCCATGAGAGGAAGTTGTCCAGTGTGACATTGGCGTGGGGGCTTATGTAGATCTTGTCGTTGATCCAGATGTCTAGGCCCACCAGAACCACACGGAAATTGAATTCCTGATAAAGCTACAGAGAAAAAAATTCCCTGGGTCAGACCAGGACATAGAAGATTGGCTGGAGTAGGCTGGGTGGGCAGTAGAGGTCACATTCCATTTGTTGCTAGGGGCCCTGGGCATGGGTACTGGCCAAGTCCTGAGCTCAGCCCAGAGCTCTGAAGCAACCCCTCTCCTACCCTCTTCTAGCCTACATAACCATGCCTCTTTTCCAGGTGCCCACATGCCTTGGCAGCCAGGGTACTGCCTGCCTCCAGATGGACCCCTGCTGCTGAGAGGTCCTACAAGCCTCTGTAGGGAGGACCCAGGCAGCTCTTGAGGGGACCCCTCTGGATGAATGCAGACCTACCTTGTCCACATGGTTCACCACTTCCAACACCCGCCTGCGCACAGCCTCTCTGCTCCCCAAGGACTGGTACTGGGGACACAATACCCTTAGGCTGGTACCTGGCACCCCAGGCCTGGCCCACCTGGCCCATTCCGCCCCTGTGCCCTCCACTCACCTCTCTGCTATCGGTAACCACGTATAGCTCCACATAGTGGGTCTTTTGGGATAGTGGTGAGTTCTGCAGAAGAAGCCAGTCAACCTTCCCAGCCATGGCCTGTCCTGGGCCCAGCCACCCAGCAGTGTTGGGAGAAACTGGCCAGGCAGCTCCAGCACAGAATAGGGCCATCTTCGCAGCCACAGCACTAAGTTACGCCCACCCACCTGGGTACACTATGGGGATGACTCTGGAGCTGCAGACAGCAATGCCCAGGCCCAAGCAAGTTGACAACAGTGGGACTGGCCACACAGGGGCATGAAGCTGCTCACCGGAGGCTGATGCTTGAATGCAGCCAAGAATCGAGGGCCCAGGATGTTGTCTATATTGACATCGCTGACCCCACAGGTTCCAGTCTTCTGCTGCAGGTGCTTGGCCTGGTACACGGCGTGTTGCCCCTCCTCACCACTCTCATCCAGAGGCTCAATCAGATGGACAGCAGAACCCACCCGGAAGAAGCCCCTGAGGGGGTGCCAGGTGAACAGCAAGTTTTACTGGTCAGTTCTTACCTGCTTATCTGGGAGGACAGGGGCTCCAATTTGGTTCCCACAGGCTCCTCTACATTGCAGTCAATGACACCCCCAACCCACCCAGGTGACACAGGCCCAGAGCCCAGGAGGCAGGAGAGCATGTAGGAGTGGGCACCTTGGGTTTGGCACTGGTAACTTCTAACAGGAGCCCTGAGTAAATGCCTTTGTACATTGTGATGCACAAGGGGAAGAAAGGCCTTTCTCCAAGACTAGTTCCAAAGCCCTTTCTTCTCTGTTTAGGTTCACCCTTCTGTAAAGTGAGACGATCTGCTAAGGTCTGAGGACACACCTGAGACCACTGCAGGTGCTAAGGCTGGCGGCAGAGCCCTGGTGCCCCTCCACGTGGCCCTGGTAGAGGCAGTGGTCCTACAGAAGAAACAGGAAGGGTCATTGGCCCTGTTCCTATGAGCCCTCAACCCAGGGAGGGCTGCCCTGGCCTTGGCCCCATACCTGCCCATGCAGCTGCTCTGTCACCTCAGAGCCATCAGCCGCTGAGTAGGTCTCTGTGTAGCTGGAGCCCAGCAGGTCCCTGGAAAAGAACCATAGGAGCTCTCTGGGCCACTTCACCCCAGCCTCCTACCTGGGGAAGTTGGGCCAGGAGCTGGCTGCCCAGGGCTCAGGCACTGGAGCCTCCACTGCTGGCTCTGCCAGGTACCAACCTGAGGGGCCAGCCTTGTGCTCACCTGTTCTTCCGCAGGTGCAGAGTGAAAGTGTGCTTTCCAGTCCCAAGGATGTAGCTCACATTCTCTGGGTACAGGCCCTGGGTGAGGCATCCTGGGTAAGTGACCTCTAGCCCTAGGACAGCCCAGGACCTCCCTGGGAACCCTCCCTAAAGGACCCTCAGGGCCCATCAGCCTCAGGCAGGCCAAAAGGTGGCTGAGGCCAGATTGGGTTGTTCTAGAGTGGGTAGGAGGTGCCCTTCTTCTCAGTGGGTCAGAAAGACATAGGGGTCCTTCATCATGCGGGCCTCAATTTTTCCATCTGTCCACTGAAAGAAAACAATGATGATGCCTGTTCCTGGAGGAAGCAGAGCAGGTGGCAGATTCTCTGGACTCCAGGGCAAGCACAGAGCCATAGTAGGGTCCCTCCCTGGAAACACACACCCATGTGTACCTCACACACACATCACACAGATATGCAGAGTATAGACACACATATGCACGCCCATTCACAGGACTTTCAGCCTATAAGGACTGTTCTCAGTTTTCAACCAAGGGGAATCCCCACCTAGCTCAGAGGCACAGAAAGATGTGTCACTGCACACGTAACGTCCTGCAGTGAGCCATCCCGCTACTCAAGAGGAATTTGGTTACCAGCTATGCCAAGTGAAACTGGGGAGTGGCATGATCCAGCACGAACTGCCAGGGACCTCTTGAGACTAGGTTGGCTGGGCTGCTGAGGGAAGGGGGTAGTAAGTGCCAGTGCCCACACTGGAGGCCCCAGGCTCTGCCCAGTGTAGGGCAGGAGAAAGTAAGGTGAGCATAGGAAGAAGGGACCTATAGTCAAGCCAGGAAGACTCACAGGTTCAAGTGGGCAGCAAGCCCCTCAGGGTCTACCTGCAAACCCTAAGGCTGTAAGGGAGCCCCACCCTTGTCCAGAGAAACAGGTTCTGAGGGGGCAGTCTCATGAGTGGATAGTAGAGACTTACCCAACGGGAAGGCAGAGCTCGACGGGCACGGGGTCCAGGCAGGCGCTGGGGCCATACCACCTCATACTGGTCCACGTGGGGGAGGGGGCTGCTAAGGGCAGTCACTGCAGAAGAGACGGGGTGATCAGGTACAGGGAGGGACTGTCTTGCCTGGAGCACTTCCCAAGCCTGGTGAGGGACTGCTACAGGGATCCCCAGATGGCTGAGGATCCAGTAATGGTAGGGTCTGGCCCTGTGCCTAAAAAATCATGGGGCCCCACAGGTAGGGTGGGGAGCCTGGCACACTGGGCAAAGTGCCCAAAGACCTTGCCCCATTCAGCCCCTCTGGAAGCCCCCGATATCCTCTACCCAGGGAGGAGGCACACAGGCCCTGGGCTGGGCTTTGGGGGTGGGACAGCTCTGCTTGCACAGCACTTAAAGAGCTGACACCTTTTCACCTCTAGTCCCATGATCACATCTAACTGGGGAACAAAGCAGCTACTGCCCACACCCTCAGTTCACTTCCCCAGAACTGAAAACTTCCTGGTGTCCAAAAACTGACCAGGGACACTGCCCTCAGGGAGCAGGTCCAGTTTTGGAAATCACTTACTTACACAAGATAACTTTATCTCTTTTAAAGAAGAGTGTCTCCTTGACCACGATCTGGCAAATCTCCCAGAGAGAAGGAACGCTGCCCTGCCCCAGGTGGGCACATCACACCACCTGAAGCCAGAAGGCTCCCAAGGTAGCAGCCCACCATGTCCCTCCTCGCCAGAGACACATCCTCAGATGGTTAGGGAACCTCGTCCTCTGCCCCAGCCCAGGTAACTCTGAGCTCCTTTCCTTGCCTGTTGATAAACCCAGATGCTGGGGGTGTGCTCTGTGGTCTTTATCCCTCCTGAATACCAACCGACCCAGGAAGCTCAGGGAAACAGCCTAAGCAACTTCTCATACAGTTTACCTTTAAAAGTTCCTCTGGCCTTTGCTAACCCCCAGCCTCTGCTGAGTGACTACCTTTGCATCCACCCTCCGTTCTCCTAGTTCAAGGGAGAAACGTGACCCAGCCGGCACTCAGGCTGCTTGGAGCGCCGCCCCGGGGGGCCCCAGGAACCAACCGCACACCACTCACCGTGTGGCCACACAGTGCAGAGTAACCAGAGCCAAAGGCCGTGCATGGTCCGGTCTCTGGTCCGAAGGGGTCAGACGGCGATCTCCGAGCTCCCGCCCGAGAGGGCTCCAGCGAAACTACGTCCCGGCCCCGCCCAGGAGAGCGCTGGCCAATCAGGCCGAGGGGGAGGGCATACCTGGGAAGGGTCGCCCCACCCACCGCTCTTCAACAACCCGGGCCTCCAATACACCCGGGCCGACCATGCACTCACTCTCCACCGTGACTGCCCGTATCTCTGTGTCTCTTTCTGGACCCCGTCATTGTGGAGCAAATTAATGGGGTTAAGGGTGAGTTTAAAGAACCAACTTGGAGATATCCCCACAACTCTGCCTCCTCATCGTATAGTTGGGGAAGCCAAGTCTCTGTTGTTCCCAGTCCTGTCAAGAGTTCTGGAGCCCCAGGTAGTCGGCTGGAGTAAGGTAGTGCATGGAGGGAAGTAACTTGTAGGAGGGGACCCTCCGACTTCCTGAGGAACAGAAAGCCACAGTGTGAGCTGTGTGAGCCCAGGACCAGCCCTGTGAGAGGTGACGCCAAAACCCTGGGTGGGGCTTCTGAAACTTCACGGAGGGGCAGGACAGAGGAGGAGCCAGACAGGTGGGGGTCCCACCGCAGGGGCTGCCTGAGCTGCTCCTAGGGGCAAGGCTGCAGTCCTGCTGTAGGAGTCCCAGTGGGCCAAGGTCCCCACAGAAGTCTTAGTTCCTGCCTTTCCTGCCCTGCAGGTTGAGGCTGCCCCAGAACCAGAGCCTACAGCACCCCCACTGTGACACAGCTCCCAGCTTCTCCAGGTGGGTCCCTGTCAAGGAACCTGGGGTTGTGGGCAAGCCTCTTTGTCCTTTGTAGCAATGTCCCCCACTGTGGCCCAGCCTTGTAGGTACAGGTGTGGGCTACTGGATAGCCTCCCAGACCCACCCCCACCAGGGACAATCTAGGGAGTAAGGGGGCTGGACAGTTAAACCTTCTTCCTGGTTTGAGAAAGGACGGGGATGGCAGATCAGGGATTGGACCAACAGGGAGACGAAGGGCTGGGGCCTTTGGACTATCTGGGGACAATGCTGAAGAGATATTGGCACACTGTTGTCCCAACATGAATGACAAAGTCAGAAATGGAGCAGGAGTAGCATAGATGTTACGGTGTCTCAGGGGAGGTGACCTGCCACTCAAGGCATCAACCTGTGGTGCTCAAGGCTGGAGGAGCCTCCAGGCTGGGAGTAGGGCTCTTGGGTTGGGCTGGCTTCTGCCTGAGGTCACACATGCTTTTGGCAGTTTTACTTCTCTTCCTTGCCTTCCTGTTACAATTATTCAACAGCAAAAATTTCAAGGCAAGGTAACACCAAGCACCTTAAAGGCAAAACCAAAGATACTGTCACTGTGTATCATTGCTTGATAAGTAAACCAAACTACTCATAACTAAGCTGATGCAGGTGAAACTAAATGAAAAGGGACATATACCCAAACACTAGTACCAACTGAGGCCAGCCTGATCCTGCACCAACAGAACCTTTCAGACATAACCAATGCCGACCCATCCCACAGGACAGACACAATGCATCTCTACCAACTTGACACAGCAGGCTGTGGGAGGGTCTGGGAGCTAGGATGCCACAGCCTCAAAGCTTCCCCTCCGCCACCCTGACCACCTGTAAGCTCTGGAAAGAGGGAAGGGCCTAGAACATGGGATTGCTGGTTCTTTGCTGCAGGCCAAGGAGCTCCTTAGCTCAGTCTGGCATTTATTGTGGCAACTGGGTTGGCAGATGGATGTGTTTACTCAATCAAGTCTGCACAAGCTACAGATTAGAGGAGCAGTGTGTGGCTGGAGAATTAAGCACCTCCAGCAGAGTACTGTCCTGGGCAAGGCAGCCATAGTATGGGTAACAGGATCAGTGCATCTCAGCTTGCAGAAAATCCTGTCCCTCAGGCCACTCCTCCCTGGGTACACTTCAGGGAAGTGGTTTAAGAAAACAGGGCACTCAGCGGCCCAGGCTGTTGGAGGGAAGTCCTCACAGCTCGGCAGTATGCTGCCCTCTAGTGCCTACAGTAGAAGAAATGCTCAGACCTTCAGTGTTCTGGGATCTCAGGGAGCCCAGCCCTAGCCCTCAGGCAGTATCTCGCCCAGTACACAGCACCTGGTAAATATCTTGCTTAATGCTCACATGCCATGTTTGTTGTAGTGATGGTGGTAGTGGTTTTTTAAAACTTTGTCTTTGAGGCCCCAAACACTAAAAACAAAGCAAACAGGTAAGTCCAGAAAGACATCACCCTGGTCTAGGCAATTCTATGAAACAAAACCTCACACCTTAAAAAGAAATGCACTGAGCCAAAACTGTAATTCAGACCTAATATTTAAACAGTAAAAGCACACACAACATAGGTGTTCCAGGAACATCTGATTTAAAAGTTCTGAGATCACTGCATCACAGCACTGACTGGCCCTCAACTCTTCCTCCAAGCCGTGGTCAAGGTTCACTGTGCAGTAACTGCCACTCTGGGTGCTGGTGCTGGTGTGGGGGCCCCACGTGGGACAGGCACTTGGGGGGCTGTTTTCTGGCTCCTTTCTGCAGACAGGTGCTCCAGTCGTTCTGTGTAGAAGCCATTGAAATCGAGCCTGTGAAAGAGGGAAAACAGAGCTGGGGATCCTCTTGCAAAGGGTGAAGCACAGCTACCATGCTAAGGAAGTGCATGGGTGTAGACACGCCTGCCACATGTGGCCACGATGGCAGCCCCATTTCTTCTACACAGTTTTAAGAATCAGCAACACAGGTAAGTCAAGGCCTCCTCCAGGTTGAGGGTGAGGGGAGTGTGTTCCACCGACCAACACACAATACACATGCACAGGCCTCAGCTTACATAGCCTTCACTGCTTTAATCAATACCCAGATCAGGCCTTGAAAACACACATGAAAACTAAAAGTCAAGCAGCAGAGCTCCTAACAAGTATTTTAGTGGAATCATATCCAGGAGGACACAGCCAGGGGCACAGATGCAGACTTCTGTCTCAGTCCTCAGATGTTGGGACTCCCATCACCCCAGCATCACCTGCCAATAGGGGGAAGGCCCTGAGGGTGTCCCAGACATGAGAAACTTCGCAGTTCTGTGGTAGGTGAATTCAGAAGCCTCCATTCAAGAAACCAGGATGTCAGTGGGTGGAAGAGAGCACCAGGTGCTCTCAATGTACAAACAAGTACCTTCTAAAAAGCAATGCAGGGACAGCACCTCTTGGCTAAAGCTGGGGCCTATTTCCTAACCATATGCTAACAATGAGCAAGCTACTGTCTTCCCTGAGCCCGCAGCCAACCCTTCTTCCATTGTCTTCAGCCAACAAAAGGGACCTGACTGCCAGGGGCTATAGAAAGCAAAGACTATGGTGAATAGAAGTGGGCAGGCCTGGGCTGTACAGCTGGGAGGAGAGCCATGGTGGGCACGCAGGTGGCAATGCATACCTGGAAATGACGCTGGCCATGCCATGCTCACAATCACTGGTGCTATAGACGCTTAGTCGGGCTAGCAGATCAAGCAGATGAGCAGAAAAGTTCTTGTCAAAGTTATTGATGGTGGCCTCAAAGCCAGAAGCCATCTGAGGGGTGTCCACAGGCTCCGCCAGGTGCTAGAAACAAAGCTCAAGGCAGTTAGCAGTGCCAGCTCCCGGGATGGGCATCTTAGCTTTTGTGCTGAGCCAGATCTGTTTGGATCTTTTTTCCTTTCATTTTTTTTTTTTTTTCCTTTTTTTCTTTTTGGTTTTTCTCCAGTACCGAGAATCAAACTCACGACCTTGTGTGTTTGCTAGGCAGGCGCTGTGCCGCTGAGCTAAATCCCCAGCCCCTCTTCCCTCTATTTAAATAAAAGAAATGGATCTGGGACTTTCTGTGTGATAAAGGGTAAGAAATTATGGTGTCAAAAAATTCCTGAGGCCACAGCACATGGTAAAAAACACTTCAGGTAACTAGTGCCCTCCATGCTGGGGGCTTCCCCAGGGGACAAAGACTTCAATGGTGCCATCCCCTGCGTTTTCTCTCTTTAGGTCAGACTTTCAAGCTGATGCCATGTTCTCCTGGTTACTTGGCAATGGGGATGACCTGTGTCTGCTACTGCCCCTAGCTTTGGGGCCCTGCTACTCCCTGTCCTGTCTTCTTTTTGTCACATCAGAATGAGCCCCATGTCTCTTGGCCCTATACCTCAAAAGACACAGCTCACCTGCACCACTTGTCTCTTCTTATCAGAGCTGGCACTAATCAGTAATAGTGCCCCAGGCTAGGCCCACACAATACTGTTCCATAGATGACTGTGGCCACACCAGAGCCCAGTGGGATGAGGTGGGGAGTAGACCACAGAGAAGAGACACTTGAGCCCGTGTTTGGAACCAACTTCAACAGTTTTCTTCTCATTGAAAGGGTGGCAGAAAGTCTCCCTAAGTGCTGTGATTCTAATGCTGTTGCACAGACAACTGAGAGAAGGAGGATGAACTCCAAGGCCATGCACCTTCTTGGAAGGCTCCTTCTGGGTTACTCCTTGGCCCACTTGGCTTTTGTGGGCAGCCCCAGGATGGTGCCTTGCTCCAATGCTAGCTGGCCCAGTTCAGTGTCCAGTTTCATGCTCTGTGTAAATTTCTAGGGGCAGAGTCATGTCAGTTCTAACCACAAGGCTCTGTGAAATGCCAAGTCCCTGAAGGTGCAGCACACCCCATGAGGTGGGCTAGGCTGACGCTGCAGACTCAGGGACACACAAATGTCCCTGTGGAGGGCTGTAGGTACAAGGGGTTAGCTGTGCCTACAGAATTCCCAGGTCTATCTTTCACAGAGATAGTGAATGGATTTCTCTAAAGACAGTTTTTTTTCCACATGTTCCCCTATTTGGGAATTTAATACAGGCTCCTAAGGGATGGAGTCCATACCACTCGTGCTCCTCATAAACTACAACCAGATACATCTACCTCTCATGGCTTGACCCCTCCTCAAGGTGCTCCCTGTGGAAAGTGCTCCCTCCTCAGGCCCCCCATCACCCTCCCGCCCAGCATTCCTCAGGCTGAAACCTCTGCCACCTGATACTCATTTTCTACAACCACTCATCTTTCGGCAACTACTTGTAACAAGTGTCCAAACAGTACTTAACTGAATTGAATAGCTCAAAGTCTGACAAAATAATAAACACACTCAAAAAGAGGCCAGGGACATAGAGAGAACACAGAGTAAGAGTAATCCAGCAGTACTAGGTGGCTTCTGCCACATCAGGGCAGGGCCTCAAGAAAGCCTTGTTCAGAAAGGAACTTACTGGCCAGGAAGACCCAGGAGCTCTGTAAGGGCAGGAGGTGTGGGACAGGGTTGCTCTGATGACTTAGATCTGAGCTGAGAGATGGAGCTTTTGGAAGGTGACTGGATCATGGGGCACTATAACCATCAGCAGATGACACCACTGATGAGCTCACCGCTGAATGTGCTGTTAGGTGGGGCCTGGTAAGGGAATATGGAGCATGGGGGCATGACATGAAGGGGGTATTCCATTTTATCCCGAGTTTTACTTTTTATTAGTACATGTTTACAGAAGATAATGATTACATTCATTGTGGGGAGTTGGTACATATACCTAACACATCTTAATTCTTTTTACATTGCCTTCTTCTCCTTTTCCTCTCCCTCTCTTGGTCCCCTTTTCCACTTGCAAAAGATCTGTTTCCTACTATTTACCCTTTCATTTGCTTTTATTATTTATGCTTTGGGTTTCTCATATAAGACAAATTGTGATAGTTAAGCTTGTGTCTGATTTATTTCACTTAGTATTATGTTCTCAAGGTACATCCATTTTCCTATAAACAATTCATATTTATCCTTCTATAGAACAGAGTAGCACTCCATTGTGTATAAATACATTTCCTTTATTCATTAATCTATTGATGAACATATAGGCTAGTCCCTTAGCTAGTATGAATTATGTTACTATAAACATGGCATGTATCACTGTAATATGATGTATTTCACTCTCTCAGGGAGATAGCTAGAAAAGGAATAGTTGGGTCATAGGAGGGTGTATTCTTGTCCCCACTCCATCCTTGTCTTTTTGCTTCCTGGCTGCCATCTTAAGCAGCATTTTTCCACCAGGCCCTTTCATCATGCAGTTTCTGTCTTGGACTGGACCGAATCCTCTAAAACCATGAGTTAAAATAAACCTCTCCTTTAAACTGCAGGTGTTGGGTATTCGTCCCAGTGCAGCGAACAACTGATGCCCACACTACCTATATCTGCTTACGTCTGCTTGCATGTGTCTATACTGCCTACCTGCATGCAGTTGGTGAACATGACGCACACAGACATGAGCTTAGAGAAGACCTTCAGTAGCTCAGGGTTGGTCAGCATGCAGTCCTTTAGGCAGTTGTCCAAGAAGCTCGTGTGGTGGCCAAGGACGTCATCAATGTTGGAGGCCTGTGAAGAAAGGGCTGAGACTCAGCATTGAGCCTGTTCTCTAGATTTCACAGAAGATACTCTACATATGGCCTTCAGTTTTGCCTTTGTACACTTCAGTTTTGTTCTGCATTTATAGGGACTGAAACCAGGGCCCTGCATATGTTAGGCAAGTGCTCTACCACTGAGCTACATCCTTATATCCTTAGCCCCCTTTGTATACTGCTTCTCCTCTTTTGGTTTTATTGAGACAGGGTCTTGCTGTGTAGTTCAGGCTAGCTTTGGACTCACTATGTGACTCAGGGTGGTCTTGAACTAGCAGTGATCTCCCTGCCGAAGCCTCCCAAGTGTTGCAATTATAGGAGTACACTGCTTTTGTATGTTTCTATCATTTAAATGAACCTATGGTCTCTTGAGGGAAAACTTCTCTGTTTAGCCCTGACTCCCCTCTTGCTGTCTCCCTCACAAGAATCACTGTGGAAAAACACCACTGTCTGCACACAAGAACAGGACTCTGGTTTCCCTTCTTCAAACAGGAAGGAGGCTGTAAGGCTGTGCACATGTTCATAGCAGCCCTGATACCCAGTCAGTATGTGACTGAGAATGATGTTATGAAACCACCTGGCTGGGAAAGAGCTTCTCAAACGCTACCATGCATGAAGCAGAAACTCACAGACTTCAGGTTTTTCTCAAGGATGTGCCAGGTTGGTTCCATCACTTCAAACATCATATAGTACTGGATATTTTGAACGAAGTTGAGCATTCGCTGCCGCAGAGTGAAGGCACCAGCAAACCTGAGTGCAGGGGCAGTTACAGAAGAGTGATATAAGGTTGGCATCTCTATAGTGTCCAATATGTGCTGATGGCTTCTGCACCTCCCCAAGCACGGAGGACTCTCATGCCCATAGTGCCTATGCACTGATAATGGCATGGACACAGGGAGCAGGAGGATGCTTGCTCCCATCCCTGGCTGCATCACGCTGTCCAGTGAGTGTCCTGCCCAGAAGGCACTGGGCCAGCCAGCACCTGCTGGAGAAACACAGAACAGATTCCCTGGCTAACTAAGTCACTCAGCTGGTGGCTGACCAATACAGGGAATGACCCCAAAGGCACACTCCATAATTTGTGCTTTACTGAGGCAGTCTTAACACCACCTGGTTCCATAGACCAATATGCAAAAGGTCCCAGGGGAAGAGAGTAGCTCCCAGCACAATGCCACTCTGTATGCTCAGGAAGAGGAACAAAGGCTCCTGAAAGGCTTGTGTCTACCACAAAGACCCAGGTAGTCAGTGCTGTGCCGTCACCACAGGAAAAGGCTGAGGGACACAGCCAATTTTCACTGAGAGTGACAAGCAGTGCTATGTTGCCAAATCACAAAAGCTGACATATCATGAAACTAAACTACAAATGTGATTTTTAAATTATTTTTTCCAAAGGTCTAAGAAGTGAAACCACCCTTGGAGGGAACCAGAAGGCCACAATAGGACGTACCACTTTGCTGAGTGCAGTGCATACTGCTTGGCAGTTTTGTTGCTGATCCAGACGCTGCACAGCTGCCGCTCTACATGTTTGCAGTAGAACATATGCCTGAAGAGCATCTGGTAGCGGGTGAGTGCCTTCCTGCAAAAAAGGGCACATCAGAGGTGCTGAATGGTGAATGGCCTGTCCTCTCACAGCCTAAACCAAGAGCACCAGAAAGTGGTAGCCCCCTCAGATCCTACAGGATGAGGCAGCTTTGAGTGGGCAGTTCCTGTTTCTTGCAATCCTGAAGAGACATCCAGAAACTGTCTCCAAGTGGCCACGTCCTCACCTGTTGATGATCAGGGAGAGGGGCCACTTGACAATGTAATCGAAAGAGAAGGCTTCTAGGCCACTCAACGTGAGCTCAGTTGGATCAGCATGGGTCATTGCCTTCTCCTGCTTGGTCTCAATGGCCAGAACCCGCAAGAGCTGAGTGATGAGGTCATGAGGCATCAGGTCAATCTTAAGGGGAGATAATAAAACAGAGCATCACATATTTAGAGGACAAGGCCAAAATCATCCCTGACCCCCACCTATCCCTGTATCATAACTTGGAAAAGCAAGTAAGGTGCCCAACAACTGCTTAGGAAATATAGAAAGGCCACATTAAAAAGCCAAACACCTACTAATAAATCCTAATTCAAAAATTGGTCTAAAAGTTCTAGCTCAGTGGTGAAGCACTTGCCTAGTGTATATGAGGCCCTGGGTTTAAATGAAAGTACAATGAAGGAAAAAACCTAAACTACTTTTCATTAAAACTGAAAAGAAAAATCCAGACAAATTACTTTTTAAATGCCCCTCTACTGCAGTGCATGGTACTAATGAGAAACCCCAGGGAAATTAATATAAACTCTCATTCCTTAAGATTGAAACTTTTTTCCATAAGGTACTAGCCCTAAGCTGACAGACAAAGCATATTTAGTGAGAGATGTGACAGCAATTATACACAAGCAGCACCGTGTATAGTATTAATTTATTCAAGTATTTATTAAGCAGTAATTATATACCAGGGAGAATGTGGAAGATCCCTATAAAGAATAATAAAAAAAGTGAAGATGAAGAATAAAGAAAGAAACACAAATAGGTCATGAATGGATGAAAGTGCTTACCATCTCCTAACACAGAAATGGATGTTCAACTGACACACTTCCTGACCATTAGAGGAACACAGATGTGGACATCAGGTGAACAGATATGATGTTCCTCACCCACACTGCCAGGGCCTCACACAGCTCCAGTGAGGTCAGTGAGGTCAGCTGTTAAAGCCCTATATTCTGATCCAATGGTTCCACTGCTAGGAATTAATGTACCCCATAAAATTACTTTTGTAGCTAACAAGGGACCCCAAAATGTATGAAACAAGGGCAGAATTTAAAGGAGGAATGAAGTTCTAGGGACATGGTGGAGAGACCACCATGCAATTCAGAGGATTTAAGCAGCACAGCACACCTACTGACACCTGCAGAGCAGCAGCAGAACCTATGCTCTCTGAAGTGTAATTGGACATTCCTTAGGACGTGAAGCCCCAAAGCAAGTCTTGATACATTTTATAAAACCGAGATCATACAAAGTGTATTCAAGCTATGTGTGGTGGCCCATGCCTATAATCCCAGTACTTGGGAGGCTGAGGCAGGAGGATCACCACAAATTTGAGGCCAGTGTAGATCACAAAGTGAGTTCAAGGCCAGTCGGAACTGCAAAGCAAGACCCTGTCTCAATAAAAGGATATTCTCTATGCACAACATGCTCAAATTAGAAATAAGGCAGAAAAAACAGAAAATTTACAGATCTGTGGAAATTAAATACACTCAAACAATAGGTCAAAGAAAGAAATCATAAGGGAAATTAGTAAGTAACTTGAAACAGGTCTGGAGTATAGGTTCTAGGTTCAATTCCAGGCACCAAGAAACCCCAGAAATAAATACAAAAACATCATTCAAAACAGAAAAAAACCCACAAAATAAAAATTAACAGGAGACAGTGATATCAGTCCTCAGAGGGATACCGGCAATTGTGGACACCTCTGAACAATAACCTAACTTTATAATCTAAGAAAAGTATGAAAACAGCAAACTAAACCCAAAGCCAGCAGAAAAAAGGGATAATAAAGATCAAAACAGAGAACACCAACAAAACCAAGATTAGGTACTTTGAGAACATCAGTGAAACTGACAAACTTTTTAGCTACACTGAGGAAGAAAGGGGACTCAAATCACTGAACTCAGAAATTAAAGTGGAGCTCTCACTACCAGGCCATGAGTCCACACACTATATGCCAGCAAGTGGACCCAACCAAGATGGACACCAGAAACACAAAGGCATGGGGACTAACTCCTGAGGGAGCCGATCTGAATGGCCTTCACCAAGGAAGGCTGTGCCATGAGCACCAAAGGCTTCCTGAAGAATTTCAGCCAACCTCACAGAACTCATGCTTCCTAAACTCTTCCAAGAACATAATGAGAGACACGTCCACACCCACACACTACAAGATCAGCACAACCTCACATGGCGCCAGACTAGGAGGCTGCAAGGAAACTATAGGCAGATACCCCTTGTGAGCACAGATGTAGAAACTCTCAATAAGATGACAGCAAACCAGCGTACCGCCCAGATGAAGGAAGGACACACTGGGCCCTGCTGCTTTTTCACTTCCAGTGCCCACTACACCCACCTTGAGGTCGTCTTTGAAGGGGTCAGTGTTGGCAGTACTCATGCGCAGGGCCAGCTCCAACAGAGCCTCCAGGCGTGTAGGAGTAATATCTTCCACTGGTTTCCTGAGTTCCTCCTCAGTGAGGTCCATGAAGTGAACAAAGAAGTCTCCCTGGTCCATCAGGAAGTAGCGCTTGATGGACCTGCACCAGGGGGGATGTGCTAAGCCTGCACTGTGCCTGCCAGTACTCCAGTACCTCAGCACAACAATCACACAGAAATGAGTGGGTGTGAACAGCTTTCAGTGAGTGGGGCATGGGACCACTGTGTCAGGCTGTGGCAGAAGAGGTGCTGCCAGCTGAGGGGTCTGATGGCCATAGCAAGATGGGGGGGCAGGACCTCTGGGACACAGGGACATGTGGCAGATACCACCCAGCTCACAACCCCATGGTGGGGGTGACACAGGAGCTAGCTCCTCGGACTACAGACAGCAAGGTGACTTGCCTACTTTTACAAAGACAAAAGGGCTGCCAGAAGGAACAGTCTAATCTTAGCCCATGTTCTGCAAATTCCACTTGCTGTGCTAGAAGAGTAAGCAGCATCCAGAGGATGGAGTAAGGAACAACCTCAGGTGGGCCACCAGCTCCTTTTCCTCCATCAGGAAGTCCAGCAGCACCTTGCTGGCATAGTTGAATGCCTTCTCAATCTGCTCAACATACGCCCGCTCTTTGAGTGTGTAGATAATTTCTTTGGCCACAGGGCAGGTGACATCATGACCACATTCTCTGACCACATTTAGGTATTTTCCTGAAAGAGAAGGAGAAAGACAGGTTTACAATGTCACTGCACAAACTGAGTCTCAGGCCTGGAATCTCACTCTGTCAAACACTGGGTAGCAGGCTGGACATGCCCTGCACATCAGCCCCACACTCACTTCATCCCATATGGAAAGATGCAACTGCCACTGTAAGGACTGAGGCAGCAGCTGCTGTGACTTGCAGTGGCTCTTCACATCTGGATTTTCCCAATTAACAGCATAGAAATTAACTGAAAAAATAAATTGAGAACTAGGCTGCTGTATCATCTCCTGGCCCCTTCTGCACTGGCTTAGTCCTCAGTTCCAAGGTGCCACGCCCCTGCACCATTGATCCTGTGACTAAATTAGGCCCTAACTTGTGTGACAGTGACTATCAACGTGGTCAGCCTGGCAGGAGTGTGTCCCTGATGGTTTCTCCTATAATGGTAACAGAGTTTTAGAAGACCAAAGATATAAGTCTTCTGCGAGACAGTTTCTTGGTCAGGGGAAAGAATGAAGCCAATGCGTGCGAGGAACCACTGACATCCAGTAGCCTGGCACAGGAGGCTGCTTTCCACATGAGCACAGGGCTAGGAGCTGGCCCTGTGCATAAGCACTGTGTGTAAGGTTACCCGTGCTGAGGATCTTGCCCGCCATCTTCTGCAGGAAGGAGGGAATCTGCTGCTGCACCACAGTGTACCGCTGGTCCCAGTACTTGTCATTGTAGTCCTCCTGTATCTTCTCCTTCCGCAGTTCGTGCTCTTCAACCATGAACTCACTGGAAGGCACAGACAGCTTCTCAGGTCACCATGGAACAAGCACAGCCCTAAGTGACACAGGAACTAGCCGCATGCTTCTAGAAACATGCCGTTAAGGCAAGTACAACCCACTGTCGTTACTTCTGCATAGTGAGTTAAAATGAGTATATAAACCTCTTTTGGTGAAGGCATTTAACCAAGGTCAGAGCTGGACAGGAAGTTAATTATCTTTACCCTTCTGTTGTGAGTACAGGCTACAAAATGACTTGTTCCTGGGTATGTGGACCACCACCAAAGGAACTTCAAGAATAACTTATACGCAGTAAGTTGGAAGCTACATTTCTTGCCATACCCACCACACCAGACTCTGTTATTTGGCTAATTAGTGAAGAAATGTATGGGGATTGCAGTTCTGTCATGGAGCACATGCTTAGCATGCTTATGCATGCTTAGCGTGCATAAGGCCCAATGTTCCCTAGAAACATTTTATCCCTAGCATAAAAAATAATGAAAATAAAATATATACTTCTATGTCATATATGTCATACACTTTAGAAATATTTTCATGAACATAAAAATATGTTCATCCTACACTAAGGACTCTAGGACCTCAACTCCAAGGATCTTAACAGCCTTCACCCAATAGAATAATGTCTTGAAAGGCAGCCAAGTGATGGGAGACTCCTTTCCCTGGCTTAGGGTGTATTTTTGTGTAAGGGTATGTGTTCAGTGTCTGCTCTCACTAAGGCCAGCACTCTTTGAGAAACGGGGCAGCAGGTATCATCCAGGCACCTATGGAACCCTACCTATAGGGGTCATGGATGATCCCCCTGTAGATCCACTTCTCCAGTACCTCAAAGTACGGTGCACTGGCAGCCTTGGTCAGGTATAAGCACAGCTCCTGTGCCTGGCTGTCCCCTGTGTAGTTGAAGCTCCTGTCGTGGAGAAGGCTCAACGTCGACCCACCTACACACTCGCCTTTATCCACTGAAGTGGCTACAGGGAGGAGAGAGTGGCTTACTGCCAAAACAGATCTACACACTATCCTCACCTCTCTTAGCTCACCCCGACCTTTTTTACTGGACGTGTTTCTATAATCAAGAACAGTGTCCGGGGCCTCCTTCCCGAAAATCATTAAAACAGGAAGTAACAGAGCTTTGCCTCATGACACTAGGCCCAGAAAGTAAGACACAGTAGTCAGCCAAAGGCTGGGTATCACTGTTCCTACACACACTGAGCCCTGCCACCTGCTGCACTTCATCAGGTGGGTACATACCAAGAGAGGCCAGGATGTCCACAGTGCGCATGGCTGGCTGGATGTAGAACCAGAGCTTCTGTAGTGAGAGGAGGCCCTGCCTGTGCAGCTGCTCCAGCTGCGTAACCAGGATAAGGTACTCCTTTACTAAGGTTCTCATGGCAGCCGCCAAGGCATGGTTCACCTGCCCATACTCGAAGGAAGACTTTTCTTCAATAAACCTACAGGAAATACATTAGACATCCTTGAAAAGGAGCAAGTTACATTTTTAGATAAAAGCTCAAATACTCCCAGTCCAATGCTCAGCCAGGAAGGAAATGACTCATTGTAGCCTTTATCCCTAGAGAGGAGCCTATAGGACTCAGAGTGGTGAATCTGAACAGGGATCAGTGACACAATAGCCCTTCAAATTGTATCAGGCCTGGGCTGAGTCACAAGCCAGGAAGAGCTCCACTCAGGAGTTGAAACCTGACCTCCCCTCCACAGTGCAAGCTCTGGGACTGGACACGAAGCTAGTCAAACGCAGGCCCACCTGGTCACAGTGGAGTAACTGGCAGCCACAGGGAGGATTCTGTTCACCAGCTCCCGGATGGACAGGTCCAGGTTGGGATCCACAAGGAAGGTACGGTTCTGCCTCCCAGCCAGAGGTTGAGCAGTAATATACCTGCCATCCACACCGACCAGCACGTAGAGCAGGTCTTCCACCACTGCTGACTCCTGGGAGGCCAAAGGCAGTGCTCCTGCAAGGCAGACACTACTGGATTCCAGGACTTCCACCACCTCTGACCACCGCCAATCTCACTGACTTGACCATGACTGTGCTCTCATTCATTTTTTATGTAACCCCCCTTATACATTTATGGATGGAGAAGAGAACTGCTACCCTTTGCTTCAGTGGGTCTCACTGTAGAACCACTGACAAACACCAAACCCTGTGGTGGCAGGACAGGCACCTGGACAGCAGTGGGGCCTTCTGCATGCTCTCCTCTACCCCTAACCATACCAGGGACGGAACCCAGGGCCTTAAGCATGCTAGGCATTCTGCCACTGAGCCACATCCCAGCCCTTTTAAAACTTATGTTAAGACAGTCTTTTGCAGTTGCCCGGGTTGGGTGCAAATTTTCCTCAGTTCTGCCTGGACTCCCAGAACAGCTGTGATTACAGATGTATGCCACCATACCCAGACTGCTAGGCCCTTCTTTTTCATTAATTAAGTTCACTGTTACATTTTAGGAATATATAATTTATATATATATATATATATATATATATATATATAAAATCGCATTTAAAAATATATTTATATAAATTTTTAAATGTATATATTTATCACATATATTATCACATTTATCACATAGGGAATTTGTACCTCTATATAACTTGATTCTTTTTTTTCCCATTCCCTTACCCTCCCTTATTTACAACTCTTCTTCCCTTCCTTATTTATAAAACAAGTTTTACTTCCATTTTTTCCTTCTTTTCTCATTTTCTTCTTTTGCCATCCTTCCTTTCCCCTCCCTAGTTCCCCTTACCATTTGAACATTTTCTTTCTATTGCACCATATCTATGATACATTTTGCTCCTTATTTACACTTTTGGTTTCTCATGGAACAAAAACAATGTGGTATTTACACAAATGTCCGATATATTTCACTGAAGAGTATGGTCTCAAGGTGCATCCATTTAGCTAGAAATATGCTGTTTATCCTTCGTTATGCCACCGCCTTCTTGAACCAACCAAAAGATGCACTCAGACACTCAACAAGATGTAGCCAGGAGTTCAAAGCACTCTGAACAAGTCCAGCATGCAACATTTACAATTACCACTTAGTAAGTGGACTTCTCTCAAACTAAAAAGATCTTATTTAGGTTTAAAAAATTTTTCTTTTTAAAGATAAGAGTCTTGCTATGTGGTTCAGGTTAGTTTTGAACTCACTCACTATATAGCCATGCGGGTCTTGAACTTGTGATCTTCCTGCCTCAGCCTCACATTACAGGTGTGTGTCACCATGCCCAACCAAAGACTTACTTTAAAAATACATCACTTCAGCTGGGTGTGGTGGTACATACCCGGAATCTCAGCACTCTGGGAGTCTGAGGCAGGAGGATCACAAGTCTGAACCCAGCACTGGCAATTTTGACCGTGTCTCAAAGTAAAAAAACAAAAATGGTTGAGGATGTAGTTCAATGTAAATGCCCTGGGTCAGTAATGGCAAAACTTTTAGAGACCAAGTACCCAAACTGTAATCCAAAACCCACTTATTTATTGCAAAGTGCCAACACTGCTATCAAACCTGAATAGTGAGGTTTTAGTTTAGAAAAAACAATGGTTATCTAATGCTCAGCTATTGAGGCAACTTGGGTCATGTGCCCAGAGAGGGCTCTGCATGCCTGCTGTGGCACACATGTCACAGGTTCACCACCACTGCCCTAGGTTCAATCCCCAGCATCAAGAAAAAGAAAAACAAAAACAAAAACAAGTTTTAAGAAACGATCCAATTTTAGCAGAGAATGAGATATAGGACACAGTGTGACCAATCACCTAATGGACCCTTTAAGACAGCCAAAGGTGGGGCTGGGGATTTAGCTCAGCGGCAAAAGCGCCTGCCTGGCAAGCGCAAGGTCGTGAGTTCGGTTCCTGGTACCGGAGTAAAACCAAAAAAAATTAAAAAAATAAAAAAAAAAAAAGACAGCCAAAGGTAACCTGCCAAGGTCCCTCTCATCTCAGTATAGCTTGCCCTGATATCTCCACAGGCCAGGTGGGGAGCCCATGTTAATAGCTCAAAAAAGCACTGCCAGACATTTCACATTCACAAAATCCCCCAGAGAAGGAATGGTCCATGCTGCTAAACGTTGCTGGAAGGAAGCAAAATTCAACAGAAAGTTCCAAGGGACACCGCCATCCAGAGCACTAGCTATAATCACAGGCTGCAGAAGGCAGTAGGCCCAGGGGGTGAGGTTCCGTCAGGCAGACATAGAGGGAAGGCCAAGGAAGATGCCTGCAGGTGTCTGAATGTGGGCAGGAGAGATGGGGAAGAAAGCCAGGGGACAAGAAGGAGAATGCCAGGTGAGAGGCCAGTGCATGACCAGGTAGCTACTGATACAGTGAGCAACAGAGGCTTAACAGCAAGAGGAGTGGCTGCCTTCTGCCTCACATTCCAAGCAGTTTCTAGGGTCAGCCAGTGTATTTCTCACACCACCTCCAGCAGTGTTTTCCAGGAGATGTTGGCCAAAGGTCCCATAAGTTCCTGTAGTGTGAGTGACCAGACCATGAAGTAAGGCCTGGGGTGAATCTGTTCATAAGACCTCTGGGGTGAGGATGGGCCAGATATGATGCCACCCCTGGAACATGCAGCATGTGGCTAAAGAATGCTAAGAGCATCAGGAACACATCACTAAGGCTTCTAGGCCGCTCAGCCCATAGCTGTATCACACACTGGCCTCAAGCTGCTTGCCAGGTCTCTCAGGCTTAGCTGGTTGTATTCTGCCTCTGAAGACACTGTCCTCTTATACACAACTTTCTCTGAATGGGGAAATACTGTTTTCTACATAAATATTCCTAAGAGCTTCTTGATGTCAGGCCCCACCCAGGTGTCAGGCCCCATTCATCTTTTCTTCCATCAAGGCATCACTCAAGAGGTTTACATATCCTCTGCCGTCCCCAAGAGTCCTGATCAGGTCTCCTGTGGGATCTGGAATCTTCCATCTTTTTACACTGATAATAACAAGCGTGCTCTACAATACCAGTGTCTAGGCCACAGGAAATACCCTGACTAGTTTCTTGACAGAAACTTCTCTGGTTCTGCCCATGTCCAGGGAGCTCTGTGACAGAAACTGCCAAGCTACAACCCTACCTAGCCTTTGTGCCCAGATGTCCTGGAACTGCAGTGGTCCCACTCTGTCTGCCCTCCTCTGCAGCCATGTGATGCAGACTGAGTTGAACTAAGGCTGAGCAGACATGTCTCCTACAAATTCTAACAGCTTAGGTCACTAACGAAAATATACAACACAAAAGTACACTGTTTGCTATAGTTTCTCAGTAACTTACAGCAGGATCATGTTTATTTAGGGATAAGAGAAAAATATTGTACTTCACATAATAGTCTTGCAGGGTTTTTAAGGGCAAAGGCAGATCTCTCTATACCAACACCACACAGACTCATGTGTGCTGTGGTAAAGTGTAGTACCAACTCCACATCTCCTCTTGAATTGGGGCTGTGAGCAAAGAGGAAACATGTCACAGAGATGCTGTGTCCTTAATTGATGAAATCTCATTTTTCAGTCTAAAATAGGACTTAGGAGTTGTATACAGCATGCCAATATACACAGCCCTCACCCCCCAATAGCTTGTCTGGAAAACGTTTCTTATGAGACATGTGACTTTAAGGCCTTTAACAGAAGAGTCTTAACATAGCACTGTCAGAGCAGGATCCATGTAATCCCAAATCACTATTCAGAAAAAAGTACCACACACCCCCACCAGCATCAGATTACCAGGATGCACGGCTTGGGAGAGGCAGCTTCAATCTGTCCTGCTCTGGCAAAAGAGACGGGGGAGAGGTAGTTGGGAGACCCCAGCAAGTCACTATTTGCTGGTAAACAGGGATGGAATGTTGAGGATAGCCAGTCAGCCTCAAGCACTGCAACATGCAAAAGAGCAAGCCTGGGTGAGGGGCTGGTGACAAACCATCACACTGTTCCTGAGCTTCAGCACATCACCCATGGCTTTCTTCCCTGGTGAGGTTCACCACACAAGCAAATGTGATATAAACTTCCTGGGTGTTAGAAATAAAAATGTCACGTACCTATAGGTAAAACTGTGTCTGTGCTTAAACCTGAACCAATCAGGAAATCTCCAACCAGTGTTGGTCTCTCATATACCCAGGCTGGGAACACAGGGAGGTGCTGGCCTGAATTTTTTTTGTTTTGCTTGTCTCGAAGCATCTTTCTTGTAAGTTCTAGAGACTAGTACAGATATTTTAAAAAACAAAAACAGAGATACTTTAAGGCACATAAAACTACAAACTCCGTGGAACTTAACTTTAGCATAGAAAAAGTCAAATCATCTAACATACGATTCAATTAAGACAAAATGAGATACAGTTCTATCTTCCCATTACAAAGCAAAGAGCTGAGGAACAAAAGACACAGAAATATCCAATCTTTCTTCTGAGGTTTTCAGTCCATATAGACTCACAATAAGTCAGGAGCACCAGCAACAGGGCTGCCAGTTTCAGCAGAGTCAGTGTTTCAGACCAGGACATTACATAGGAAGAACCTGAAGTGCTTTTTCCTGGCAATGACTAAATCTAATGCCACTTGTTGTGAGAAGAGAGCATTGGCAACTGATATTGTCCCCTCACCCTGCTGGAGAAGGTCCCAGGACAGATCTAAAAGGCAGAACTAAGCTGCAATGTGTGCACAGCACTAACTCTCCAGGAGACTGGTAGCAAAGTGTGACTGGATTGGGCTCAGCTGGGCAGCTTTCGGAAGCACTAACTTGGGTTATCACTCTGAGGCGCTGGCAGACTGTACTATACTGACCAGGCAGCCTGGTTCCTTACGTGTCACTTGGGAAGGTGGTGTGAGGACTACACAAGTCACGGACAGCTCAGCAGGTGACCTGTGCACATGATATAACTGACAAGGTTGGCTGTGTCTTTGAGAGCACTTCTGTGCTCAGTGTGCAAATGTAAGGATAGGACACTTCACAGGGATGTGGCTATGAAGAGGGATCTGAGGGTCACAATGGTAAAAGAAAATACCTGAGACTCACATCAAAAAGATTAGGGTGGGACAAGCCAAGAATCGGCACCAAATACAGCAGTAGAAAATTACCCAGAAAATAAACACTAGAAATCTGGAAATACTATCATGTCAAAAACTGTCATAGCTGGGTATGATGGCGCATACCTGTAATCCCAGCGCTTGCAACACTGACGCAAGAGGAATGCCACAAGTTTGAAGCCAGCCAGGAGTACATAGTGAATACATAGCAAGATCTGGTCTCAAAAAATAAATAAATAACTAAAAAATAAACAAAACATCAACACAACAAAAAAAGAACTGTCACAGATTCCAGGCGCTGTGACTTGTGCTGCCTCAGATTCATGTAACCATCTGCCACAGGTGGATCTCACCAGAATCTCACTTATCTTTGTGGTGAACAATTTCTAAATAAATGGCATGATCCAGCCTCAGCCCCTCTAAGAGCAGATTCATTTCTCTTTTCTTTTTTTGCTATTGGGGACTGAACTCACAGGCTTCACACTGAACTATATTCCCAGTCATTTTTTTATTTTGAGAGAGGGTCTTGCTAAATCACCCAGGCTGGGCTTGCACTTGCAATCCTCTTGCCTCGGCCTCCCAGAGCTCTGGAAGTATAGGCATACAACACCATGCCTGGCTCAGATTCATATTTAATAAACAACAGACATGCCTCCAGCATTATCTCTGTGAACTCTGGTGAACAGTTACCTGCTGCAGTGTGGAGCCTGTAGTCACACTGCCAAGCTGCTTCCTTAGCTCCTCAAGCTCTTGCATGGACATCTTGGAGGCTGTGGTAGGAACACTAAAGCTGGTGGTGCTGCTGGCCATAGCAGTGGCTGCGAGGTCAGCTCTTTCTTTCGCGTTCTGTTGCAAATACTGCAGAGTCTGAAAACACACAAAACTATATTCAGACTGGATTAGTATGTGTACTTGGGTTGGCAAAGCAAAGCCCTCTCTGTTTTTCCATAACTGAAATCTACCTGTGGGTAACTATGCCTTTGCAGATGAGCTTTCCTCTACAGTCCACCTACAGTTCCTGGGCTACCACAACTACCTCCCCTTATCTGTCCCAGTGCTGGGGGTCTACATGTGCCTGGTGAACCCCTCCACTAGTGAAGAAGAAGGGGGACCTGGCACATCGTTTGCTGTCTCCTCAACAATGTGAGAAACGTGAAACAGCTAAGAGTGAGGCATGATTTTCATGAAGCTAAAATGCTCCACCCCCAGTCACTACTACCAACATTTCTCACCTTTATGCCCATCCTGAGTATTGTTTATTCTGACTCAAAAAGAAAAAAAAGTCCTCAAAGTGTTCCTGGCATGAGACAGGGAGGTGCTGATGAGTGAAGGGAGCAAGGTGGGCAGAAGGAACGTGAGTATGTGTAAGGTATGACCTATACTCCATACACCCCACCTCAGGCTTCACAGGGAATAAGCACTGTGCTCTACTCTTCCAAGCCAGTACCAAATGTCTCCAGTGTACTAACAGCAGGTACAATAATGAGGACAACAAGGCATTTACCTCCTTGTCTTCTGTAAGCTTTGACAATAGGTACACCAGTGGATCAAGGTTCCTTGTATTTTTAGATTTCAGTTCATCATATTTCTTTAGAAAATCCTCAGGAGTACGAGAAAATTCTGCAATTTTAACCTCAAAAGCACAAATGTGAATGATTTAATGACAACAGTTAATCAAGCACAAGGAAAAACCTTCAAGAAAAACACAAAAACCAAAATGGAGTTAAACTAGGTAACTTAGTAAGTTAAATTAGGCAACTTAGTGAGACTCTGTCCCAAAAAAGGAAGGAGGGAGCTAGGGTTGTACCTCAATGTGAAGCCCCTGGATTCAATACCTAGTACCACAAAAGAAAAAAGTGTGCCTTCCTAAATTCTACTCCATTCGGTTTTTCTAATTATCTTGGTGTCATCATTATGCTGGTTAAGTAAATGAAGCTTCACAATGTGTGTTTCAGAAAGAAATTCCAAATTCAAATCCCTCTTTTACTTAAGATTTATAATTCTGAATTATCTATTATGTGATTTAAAAAACAACTTCAAAGGATTTCAATATGATTAAGACCAGCAGCTTCCCTTCTTAGCCCCAGAAACGTGTCTGTGAGTCCCCATCTTAGGGAACACAAAGAAGGAATGTGTACCTCAAGGTTCAAAGCAGCTCTGCCTAGGCCTCCACTGACCTATCTGTATAATGGAGTCAGTGACAGTGGCTATGACCAAGAGTCAGGAGAACCAGAGAGTAGAATGTTAAGTTGGCCTGTGGAAAATATCTGATAAGCGCTACTGACATTAGTTACTGGCAATGCTGTAGCTACCAAACTCCCCCTACCCTACCACATCCATCCAAACAAACCTGTACCAGGGACAGGCTCCTATCTTCTGCCCATTACCAAAGACAGTCACCCACCTTGGCACTGTGGGCAGAGACAGTTGTTGTGACATACGGTGTTCGGTTCTTCTGTAGAAGGTCAATGTAGACTTCGGCTCCATCCCCTCCATGGATTCGCAGCAAGCTGAGCAGCTCATTGACATCATGGTGAATCCGAAATTCACTCATTGTTTTAGCCTTGACACATCGACATCACCAGACAGTCTTATAAAAGTTCTCTAGACATTTATAAACTTAAAATCTTATACAAAAATTTAAAACAATCAAATTTGACCAACTTCTGGCCTTTGGTAAAGCAAATCATTACCAGGCCCAGCCTAACCTCTACAATCCCATTGCTGTCTGCTCCCTTAATACTTGCCTTCAGGGACACATTGCTATGTGCCAGCCATCCTCACTGCATTCACCCATGACATATCTCTTCAGCAACTCAGAGGGCTGGCTTCTATCATCAGTCATTCCCAGCCTACTCTACAGCTTAGGGAGCACTCCAGATGGGCTGCATGAATGGTCCCCACAGGCCCTCCTCTCTTTTGCTGGATGACTTCATCCACAGGTGCTCCTGGGCCAAAAGAAAGCTGTTCTGCTACTCCAGTGGACTGGTGGACAGAGCTTTCTGGCCCCAGCTGGGCAGACACAATGGCTCTGCTACTGGAAGGCCCAGGATCTATACGAAGAGCTTATATGGGCCGAGGTCACTGCCCCTATCCCTATACAGCTATTAAAATAAGCTCCCACCCGAGGCCATGACCAGTTCTCAGATCCCGAACTGTTTAGCAGCAGTTCCATCCACGCCTCTACTTCTGCATCTTCTCTGCACTCAGGATCCTGGGACGTCTTTTCTGGCCCAGGCCTGGCTAACTAGAAAGATATTTTGGTTAAGATTTTTGAGCCTTTACTATGTGCGTGAGCTGGATGGCTCCATCACAGCTCTGTCTGCCCTGTTAGTTGCTGTGCATTAGCATCTGTCATTGAACACAAAAATGTGAGACCAAAACCTTACCTGATGTCCCCAGGGACAGCAGAATAGTGTAGGGGCTTCTTAATTAATGACCTACTGGACAGCAGCTGATTGCACAGGGACTTCCACTCTCCCACAGACACCTGGGTTAGTCAGCCATTATCAGGAGTGCTGGTGAAGGCCATTAAAACAAATATACACGGGCATTAGCCACAAAAATAGGCCTAAGCAAATTTTATGAGCTTCACATAAACTTTTCAATATAAGAAGTGTGATCAAAATATATGGTAAATATTTCCATTAAAAGTATTACAGTAAAAGATACATTGCCACCAAACCCCCTCAAAATACTCTTCCTCACTTTAAACACACCTATCTCATCACCCTTGCCATTTTCTGAGGCAGTTTTAGAAGTCCTTTCATGTCTTTATAGGATGTGACTAAAAATACAGTGAATGCTGCTGCCAAGTGCCACCTAACAGAAAGGCAGGCCTGTAAAAATATGGCGTGTCTTCATCTACCTCGTTCACTGGATCTGGCATCCTGGTATTTCTGGCTCTTCCCTAAAGTCAAAATGACCACAAAAGGTGAATGTTTTGAATCAATTCAGAACACAGAGGCAACCATAACAGCTCTTTAGTTCAATTGAAGACATGAAAGAGGACTTCCAGAACTGCTTCAAAAAATGGCAAGAATGATGGGATAAATGTGTTCAAAGTGAGGGAATGTATTTGAGGGGTATTAATGGCAATTGGTCTTTTACTCTAATACATTTTAAAAAATTAAATATTTATTGTATTTTTTGGGCATACCGTATACCCATGCAAGGGTTCTTAATTTGGGATACACAAGTCACAGAATCCCTGGAAATTTAGTGGAACCAATTATTTCTGTGAATTTTCTGACATGGTATTGCAACGAAGTCTCCAAAGCTCTGTGACCTATGAGAAGTTAAGAATCACTGTGCTGACACAATCAAGGTTAACACAAGCCACGAGTTAAACAGTGTCAAGGATGGGAGACTTAGTACCTGCTCCTGGAATATGCGAATCCACTAGGGAATGTCAACTTGGAACTCTACCTGTAGCACTATGCTCTAACCCTGTAGGATGGAAAATAATTTCTTGGCATATAAACCTCCACACTGGTCAAGGTAGGTGCTTTCAGGAATGAAAGAAGAAAAATAAGCCTGAGCTGGTGCTCAAGTTCCCAGCACAGACCCCTTCCAATTAAGAGGTGCTCATCACAGCCAAGTAAAAAATACAAGACCAGCCAGGAATGGGCTGTGGAGGCCCAAACACTCTAACCCTGAGAGCCAACTGTAGGCTGTGGTCTCTGGTCAAGGAGCTTGTCCTCTGTAAGCTTCCACTGAAGATGGGGAGTGATACTGTACAACTATGTAGAGCTGCTATGGAAATTAAATAAAGTCATTCTTTTTTCTTTGTTAGACAGGGTCTTGCTACATTATGTAGTTCAGGCAGGTTTTCAACTCGTTGTGTGACCCAGGCTGGCCTTAAACTAGCAGTGAGCCTCCTGCCTCAGCCTCCTGAGTGCTGGAATTGGAGGCGGGCACCACCACGCCCAGCTCAAGTTCATTTTTATAAAGCACTGAAAGAATCACATAGTAAGCTCCTGTGCTACTGACAGTAGGAAAGCCAGAACAAGCATTGTTGCTGTTACCATAAAAGGCCAACCACCTGGAAACATTCATTCTGTTATCTGCAAAATACTTTTACAAAAGGAAAATTGGGCTTGAATCAATGACTTAAACTGACAGTTACTTTCTTATAAGCAAAAGAAGCCCTTAAATGAGGCACTGCAAGCCACTTGTAAAGCAGAAAAGCAATCTGAAACTTCTCAGTTTTATCCACATTTTATGAGGCTTTCAGAGGCAGGCAGATTGTTCAGTAATGGCTGGTCTATCTTGGTCACGTTAGATGGCCAGCAAAGTTTTTGCCAACACAAAGCACTCTACATTAGATACAAGAGTAGAGAGCTATTCCTGAGCAAAGATCATCTAAGGGAATAATTTCAAAGCTGTCTTCTGTGATGTAAGCAAAAGCTCAGATAAGCCTGTTGGTCTGCCTGAATTGGGAGACAAAAGCTCTCAAGTAGCATCTCGCCTAGACCTCTGGAAATACCCTGGGTTAACTCTTGGTTGTTACAGTGACTAAAAGTGTGCTCTTGACAGTTAGTGTGCAAGGGCCAGTATGCTGTCCACACAACTGTCCCACAGCCAAAGTACCAGTGTCCTCAATGAAGGCCACAGCTACGAACAAGTGTGATCAGTTCCTACAGCTTACTGTAAAGACCTTTTTGATGCTCCCCAGTTCCTTTTTCGAACAGTCACCACAGATGTCCATGACCCAACAGATTTTATCCGTAGGTGACATTCCACCATGAACCAATTAGCTGCACACCTCCAGTGAGCAGTGATTAAAACAAGGAGGGAAGTGATGAAGGCCCTTAGGAGGCTCTAAGTTAACTGCACACATGGGCCTGAAAAGACAGTATTTTACAACTTGTGAAATGTCAGGAACTCAAATGCTATACAGAGTCAGAAGACCATTCAAGACGTACTAAGTCTTTTCCTAGACCTAAAAATAACTGGGGACATAGCCACACACTTTCATTTCCAAGGATGAAATGACGAAAGTTTTAATTTACCTAGTAAAGAAACAGCGAGCCCTCTTCCTGCAGTTTGCACACCTGCACACGCAGGCCCCGCTCAAGGAAAACTATTCGGCGGGGAAGCGACCATTAAGACCCTGCAGCCTGCAGATGCCCACGCTCCTCCGCAGATCGCGAGCGCTATGCCCTCCCGGTGTGTGTTCAGTCGCCGTCTTGACTAGGGTTTCCCGACCTTCGTCTCTCCTGCGTGGCCAGCGGGCTCCCGGGCAGGAGCCGCTCCTGACAGTTTCACCCCCGCAGGCCGAGGCCCTGCTGCGGCCGGGCGCAGAATGGAAAGGCAGAGCCCATCACGGGCGCGCCTGGGGCTCTGGGCTGTAAGCACAGAAGGGTCCCACAAACCCAACTTCCCAAAGGCCCCCGGCTCCGGGTGGGCGACTCTAGGAAACACCAGAAAAGGCCAGAGGCGGCCGAATCCAGCGGGTACAAACGCTGGGGGCGAGGCCGGCGCTGGCCTCGGGCCCAAGTGGCTGCGGAACAGGCGAGAGCGGAGGGCGGGAAAGACGCGCGCGGAGGGACCGGACTCTTCACTGCCCCTGGCGCCCACCCCACATCCCTAGGGCCCGTCCCCCCCACCCCGCGGCTCCCACTGGGACTCTCCGCAATCCGCGACGCGCGCCGGGTTCCGGCCCCCGGGGTCCGGCCCCCGGGGCCCCGCAGACTCACCTCGGCCCGCCGCGCCATCAGAAAAGCGACGCGGAAGTGCGGTGACGTCACGTCCGGCCCCGCCCGCGAGCTCCTGCAGACGGGCTGCGCCCGGGCGCCCAGGGTGATGCTACTGCCTTCCGCGCTTCGGGCTCGCCTGGCTGGGGCGCCTGGGGCAGCCGAGCCGCTGCCAGTGGAGCGGAGCCCCGCGGCCCGAGCGGCGCCCTTCGGCTTCGTGCCGCGCCCAGTGCGTTTCCCGAGGGAACACGAGTTCTTCGAGGTGCGTGCGTGAGAGCGGACGGAGGGCGCGATCGGACGGGCGCCGGAGCCCGAGTCGGGGGGTGGGGGACCTGACGCTGGGCGCGCTCGGCGGCGGGGGGCGGGGCGTAACGCTGGGGGTGGGGCAGGCGCAGGCCGGACACCGGGAGTCCTTGATCCCGGGTTGGGGTCCACTCCGTGGGACCGAGATTCTAGGCCCGAGCGCTGCCCACGGCGCTTGTCTCCCATAGGACGGGGACGTGCAGCGGCACCTGTACCTGCAGGATGTGATCACACAGGTGGCCGAGGCCCCAGAGAAGTCCAGGTAAGCAGCTCAACCCGCGCCTCTTACCTGGCGCAGCGCCTGAGGCGCTGCTCACGCAGCCGGTAGCAGCAGAGGCCTCAGACCCCCTCGTTTATCTGTGAATTCTCTTTGGAGAAATTTGTTTAAAACGTAGGAATTAGGATTATAAGGAAACTCTGAACCAGGTTTCTTAACTGGATGTCTGGCAGAAAGTCCTGTTCTAATTGGCTCCAGTGAGATGGGTCTCCTTTCCCAGGGTACCCGAGTTCACCTGTCAGGTGGCCGGCTGCTGCCAGGTGTTTGCTGCGCTGGAGGACTACCAGCACCACTACCATATGATGCATGGGAACGCCTGCTCCCTGTGTAGCCGGGCCTTCCCTTCTGAGCACTTGCTGGACGCCCACATTTTGGAATGGCATGATTCACTCTTCCAGGTCCTGGCAGAAAGACAAGACATGGTATGTGGCAGGTGTAGCCTGGGGATATGCGTGCTCTGTGCATAGGACCAGGGTGGTGATGCACTCTCCTTTCCAGTACCAGTGCCTGGTTGAAGGCTGCCGTGAGAAATTCAAGAATACCCAGGACCGGAAGGATCACATGGTGAGGCTCCATCTCTACCCTGCAGATTTCCGGTTTGATAAGCCCAAGACCAGCAGAGGGTACGTGAGGAACTGTGCTGCTACACCCTCTGGTCTTAGGCATCGGCATAAGTTCAAATGCTGGACCTGTAGTCAAGCTTAATATGATATTTATCTACAGGTAACTTGAAATCCTGATGGTAGAAATTAGTATCCAAAGGGCTTACAGAAATAGTACCTTCCCAGGGAAAGGAGGCAAGAGAGGAGTTCCTGGCTGGAGGGTAGAGGTGAGGGGGTTGTGGGAATGACAGGCATCTCCTTTCACTGCCCATACTTGGGCTGACACCCCTGCCCAGCTCATTATTAGACTGGAGGGACAGCCCTCTGAAGCTGGGAGCAGGAGCCTTCCAGATTTATCCCAGGCTGTGAAGCCATCCACTCCGCAAGGTCCCGTGGCTTTCCATTTTCCCCCTGCCCCTAGGTTTAGGAACTTTACAAATAACCATCCTTAACACATGAGAGTGCACCCATGGAGAAACCTTAAGAAATAATTTTTTAAGAGTGTTCTTATTTTTGCTTTTTTTTTTTTTAAATTGATGCTTTTCAGGAGAACCTTTATAAAAACTGCATTGATTGGAGTCGTTTCAGACTTGTTTTCCCAAGTAGCATTTTGCTGTTTAAAGTAAAATAATTGGAGAACCCACCGCAATGTGGGAGGCTGCATAAGAATCTAAGTCTTAGGTAACTTTCTAAGGGGTTATTTTAAGAGAAAAACCCTGCAGTGCTTATCAACACACTGATATTATAGAGGGGACTCTGCTTTATAGTCTCTGGTTAATTTAAGAAAATATCTCCATCGTGTAAGACATTTAGCCTTATTGGTTGGCATTTCCCCATGGTACTATAAAATGCTATTTTCAGAAAACAAAGCATAATCATAATTAAATTTACAAAATTTAGGACTTAGGTAAACAATAACTGTAGCATTCTCTTTTTGTTTTCTGGTGGCATGAAAACAGCACTTATGCCAGATCGTAAGAAAATGTCTTAATATTTTTCCTTAAAAATTTATTTCTGGGGGGACCCAGGGCTGCCGGAGCTATGTGGAGCTGCTACTTACCATTCTGTCCTCTGCAGCCCATCCATGCCAGGGGCCATTGCAGACCTGTCCACCAGAACCCTAGCTGATGATGGGGATGCTATGGAAGTGTGCCCCTCACCCATGACTCTGTCCTCAGCACCCGTGAGTGAGAAGCGGACCTATAGTCACAGGTTAGTGTGGACCTCTCACTAAAACAATGTATGTTCTGACCCTGTGCCCACAATCTTTTTGAAAATAAAACTGAGTGAGAATGTTAGTGTCTGGAATTGAAAGCCTGAAAGATCCAGTTTTCTTGGCATTCTGTTTTGTGGACTCTGAAGCCCAGAAGTAGAAGCATAACCTCTTATGCTATCAGTCTAGGCTGGGCAAAAAGAACCTTTGTTGGCACTTGCCTCAATCACAACCTGGCAGACTGTCCTTCTAGTATTGGGTCAAAATAGAAACAAGCCAAAGTTTGGGTAGAAAGTTGAACAATGGAGCAAAATAGCCAAAGAATACGAATTGGCAGGAAAATACACATATATGACTCTCAAGTACCTTCCCATGGCTACCCAAACTGTCACCTGTGTATAGCCTTGGATGCTAGGGGATTTTTTTTTTCTTTTTGGTTTTTCTCCGGTACCGAGAACCGAACTCACGACCTTGCACTTGCCAGGCAGGCGCATTGCCGCTGAGCTAAATCCCCAGCCCCGGGGATTAGGTTTTAATGGGCAGTGTGTGCCAGGAAGTTTCTGTAGCTTGGCAGGAACAGGCTTTCTTGGCTCAGTTCTCCCAAGAGAGTGCGCACTGGTACCTGGGAGAATCTCCTATGGGAAGGAAACATCTGAAACAATGGGTCCAGGAAACCAACTCTGTTTCCTGAATGTTCTACAGAGCAAAAGAGAAAGGGAGCATTCCAAATTAAGAAGTAAACACACTCAAGGCTGCTCTTGGGTTGCTTGTTGGCAAAGGAAATACCTTTTTTGTAATACCATTTAATATGAACCTTTTTTCCATTCCAGAGTACCTTCTACCATCTGTTTTGGACAGGGTGCATTGAGAGGGTTTAAAAGCACCAAGAAAAAAAATAAACATCACTGATGGGGAGAAAGAACCAAGCATCTGAGCAGACCGGGGCAGAAGACCATGGTTGCCTGCAGGAGATGGTATCTGTCAGGGCCTTTCTCTCACTTTTGGTGTTGCTGCCCTGGGACTGGGCCTTTGTTGCCTTCTGTGTCTTGGTCCTTTTGCTGGCAACTCAGCAGCTGTTACCGGAGGTGGTAAGGGACCTGCAGAAATGACTGGGAAGCACTGCAGGGAGTAAGATGGAGAGATTATCTACCTCTCTCTACAGGACTATCCTAAGAATGTCCTTTTTAAAAACATAAAAAAATATTTTTCACTGATGGTCTATAGTCTTTCTGGGTTGTAGAACTTGATGGGAAAATGAGCACTTATCAGCTAGGAGTATTTTGTTTTCAGTGTTTGATTCTCACAGAAATGATAAAGTCTCAGAGCCTCTTAGAGGCAGTGAGTGCGTCAGGTTTGACTGTGGCTAGTCCTTGGACTTTGTGACTTCAAGAGAGACATCCAGATCATTCTGTGCCCCACCAGCCAGTGAACCCTACAGGGACATGGTGCCAGGAAGGGATGTAGAAGGAGGTCTCCTGAGAGGGTACTGGATAGATATTACAGGGAAGATAGGGGCAGTGATGGCAGGCAGAGGCCTGCCCAGCAGCTGTGTAGGTGTCAGAAAAGCATCTGACTGGGGGATTGTATAACAGGCAAAAGCAAGTCAGGAAATTGGGCAGGCATATAGAGCATGGAGATACATAGCAATCAGTGTGTCCTGGAGAAAGCGGCTTTACTGTAGTAAAGTCAGGGCCTTGAACCAGGCCTGGTAGAGGCCCTATCCTTAACATGTGGCTGGACCCTTCTATGCTGAGATGTTGGCCAACCAGCACCTCCTGGCCTCACTTCGCGGCCTATTCTCTTTGGGCTATGGATCTAGCTAAAGACAGCTGATGGTCCTCTTTCAATGTGGCTGAATCTAGAGGATGCTTCAGATGGGAGAAAACATAGCCACTGGTGCTTTCGGTACTACAAAATTCAAGCACAATTCAAGAGAAATTGAAGAGTTAAACTATGAAAAATTCAAGCAAAATTCAAGAGAAATTCAAGAGAAATTGAAGAGTTAAACTATGAAACACTTAGAAGAAAACATAGGAGTAAATGTTTATGACCTTCAATCTGACAAAGGATTCTTAGAGCTGA